TATCTGGTGTTGTACCCGGCTAACCAACCCCTTTCGTCCAGACATGGTGTTGGATCAGTAGAGAGTGGCAAAGCTTGAGACTGTATGGCTGCTACATACCAGCCTGGGCTTTCATCCTCGTCTCAGTCCTGATTTACTGTGCCATCGCGGTTCAGACTATTATCCGAGGTAGTAGTGAGGGACAAACGGAAAATCATAAACTGGGAGCGGCCGGTAGCCCTGCCATGGCCCGCAGAGTGAGTGATAGCCAACTACAGGACCGTGCACATTGCTTATGGGTAGCTAACGGTCATTATGAAGTCGTATCTATCCCTCAGTGACTGGACGCTGTCATCTCCGGCACATGACATGCCTTTCGAGCTGCCAGGCTGCATTGCACCCCCTATGCCGACATACACAGCCACACCCCTGAGTCATAGATCGACATGGCTGGGCAACTTTGGACGATGTCCACGGCCAGCCCCGTTGCCGCCTTGCGCTGAGAGCATTTCGGAAAAGGAGCTAGCAATACCATTCATAACTCCAGACTCCGCCAACCGAGCACAACTGCATACCGGACTTTTGTTTGCGATATCAGTCACGATTACCTGGCTCCCTGGCACCATCCAACACATCCAGGAGCTGAGGTTAGAAGACTCATCCTTCGCAGTGAAGGCAGCGACCGCTACCCTTCTGCCGCTACAGGGTCTCTGGACGGCCGTGATATTCTTCGTTACAAGCTGGACGGTAATCCGGGAATGCATAGACGAGAGGCGCAACAGGCAAACTGCTACAGGGATTGGTGACCTTTTGAAAGAGCCGGTGCTGGAGTTCAAGGGAAAGAACTTGTTCCGCATAGCACACGACAGCACCACGTCAGGGGGTAGGAAGATGGGTGTATGGATGCGTTGGGCAAATGGAGATTCGCAACGGAGTTCTACTTGGGATTTTCGTGACGTTGGAGTCCCAGGGGCAATGGCAAGCCGCCAGGCGAGCAAAAGGAGCAGGAGTAGTCCGTTACGCCCGAGTCAGGGGTGAACCAGCATGCTGCAACTTTGAACAGTTTTATCACTCGTCTGGAATTAACTGCGTTAGATGTACATGCTGCTACGGAGACTTGCTCATGAAACAGTGAAGAGATCACGTATGTCTGGTCTGCCAGTAGTGCTAGTATACCATTCATGCCGAACCGATATACAAACGCATACAAACCAAGTAAATGACAAGCAGATACTAATCTAATAAGCCCAACCCAAACAAAGCCTTTCGACCCAAGCCTTTAGTACCAGTAACCATTGATGACACAATAACACACGTATAACACTAAACGCCAACCCAACCATCTAGTCTGGAGTCTGGACTAAAGCACCCGATAACGCACCCGACCACAATAGGAGTAGTCCGAGTCACGCTCCGCCAGGTAATCGACCTCGCTCATGTTCAGATCCCGCCAGTGGCAGGCACTGCAGTCGATGGCATAGGTCTTGCCGAGCTCGCGCCGCAGGTAATGCGCGTGGGTGCGGCTGCAGATGACGAGGCGATGGCGGCGGATGTGGCCGCAGCGCCAGTAGTCTGCGTAGGTTGTGCACATTGTCTGGTTTTTGGTTTGCGGCTTGGTTGAGCTGCTGGTGGTGGGGGTGCTCTGGTTTGGTTCCTCAGTCGTTGCTCAGGGGGTGATCGCCGGCGGGTTTTGATGGACAATTTGACTGTGTTCACGTTGCTGGGGTTAAAGTTGAGGATCGGACGACAATGGGGTAGCTAGTTGAATATCAGTTACTTATAGGCTTAAGGATGGAAAAGATTGAGCCCTGGCTCGGTCCTAGGATGGTGTAGGCGGTCGAGTCATCAGCGAACTGGCTGGCGGGCTGCCTCGTCAGTCATCGCGTCAGGTGCGGGATTCACCGAGGTGAAGAACGTGTTAGTTGGAATGTTGAGAATTTTGAGTTCCTTTCGTGTTGTCCGTGAAGGAAGGTGGGAGATCAAGAGAGAAGCCTGGGGCCATCTCCATGCCGATAAGTACGTCATCTCCTCGGGCCAGGAGCGCCACATGGACGGCTTATAAACAGGCCTCGTGGGCTGGGAATCCCAGAGATATATGGCGACCACTATTGAACGAGCTGTCAGGTCCTGAGCTGAACATTGTTCGCCACACAAGGCTGAATTAGCCCGCAAGGGGTTCAGGGGGGATGATGTGGCCTGGCACTCACATGCAGGGGTGCGCTCTGGCCGAATGATAGTAGTGACACACTTCAAAGAACAACTAGAAAGTTGTATGATGGCTCCAGGGAAATGGAACGGAGGTTGGGTGCAGCGGATAAAAACTCTGAATGACACGCAGCGAGCACTGCCCCAACGCCATCCCCCTGAGGCTTTCAGCCTTGTGTGGCTTTGCACTGATGAGGTCACCAACCACTCGAAGGATGGATGTGTGACCTATTTGTCACCATTCAGCTGAGACGGTATCCGATGGCCAGTTTATGCTCTCCCAGGCGGCCTCAGTGCGGCTGGCCTTACATCTGTGCTACCTTAGGTACGCCAGCCTTGCGTCCCCCTGAACGCTGTGGATGTTTAGCTATGCTACTATTATGGAGGACTGAGGGGGATCGCGATTCTCTTGGACTTGAAGCATTGCAGAACCAGTCGAGGCCTTTGCAAGGGACATGAGTCTATTGCAATCTCGTACTCGTCCTTACAGTCGTAAGTGATGGGTATGGCTGCCCGCCCAGTCAGTTCTAACCGCTGCCTAGATGGCATACCGGCAAATTGCCTCAGGCAATGGAGAACCGAATCAACTCAAGTACTGCTATATATGCCTGCCACAACTAGATCTTACTGATACTGTACTTCATCACCTCATACTTCGCCAGGTAACCCACATTGACCAAAACCGTAACCAAAACACCCATTTCACCCATCCAACCTCAATACCCGCTCTTCTTATCAACCACATTCACCAACTCCCCGCCCTCGCTCAACCTCTCCAGATTAACCTCCAACACCGCCAGCACCCTGTCATAATAACTGACCGACGCGCCCGAGACATGCGGCGTGACAATGACATTCTTCGCGCTCCACAGCGGGTGTCCATCCGGCAGCGGCTCAGGATCAGTCACATCAATCGCAGCGCCCCTAATCAATTCCCCATTCAACGCCTCAATCAGCGCCTCGGTATCCACCACCGCACCGCGCGCAATATTCGAGACAAACGTCCCCCCTTTTCTTCCCTTCCCTTCAGGACGGTTCGCCGCACGAGCTAGGACCTCGAACTCGGCCTTCCCCAAAAGGTGAGTGGTCCGGTCCGTCAGCGGGGTGGCGACTACCAGCAAATCAAGGCCAGATGACAGAAACCGGTGCAGGTCGGCTGTGGACCCGCCCGAGAACCATTCGCTTGGGAATTCGCCCTCAGGGTCGCCCATACCGGGTGGTGACCATGACGTGTCGCGTCGTGAGGCAGGTGTTGGACGCGGGTGCAGGGTGTAAGCGTGTACCCGCATGCCGAGGGCTTTGGCGAGACGCGCGGTTTGGCGGCCTATGCTGCCGTAGCCGAGGATGCCGCTGCCAGCATGTTAGGTTAGGATCTGAAATGGAGGAGGATGGCTAAGGGGGTTAGAGGAGAAGGGACGTACATTGTCTTGCTGGCGGCGTCCTCGATGGTCATCAGCTCGCCCCTGTCCCAGCGGCCTTGCTGTTGATATCCGAGGTACTCGGCAACTGACGAGGAGCAGTTAGCTGCGCCGCGATGGCCACATGCACGGGGGCATTCTTACATCGGTGCTCGAATGCGAGATACGTGCTGATAATCCATTCCGATATTTGCGGGCTGCATGAAGCGTCAGTCAACTTACCGTCCCATCATCCCTCTCGTCCCCAACCAAGCCACTTCCAGCGCCGCGTCAAGAGTCAAATGTCACTCACCCATGAACCCCATTAGCCGTGCAAAACGTAACATCCGTATCCTTAAAAACCGGCTCATGCAGCACATGGTTGGCCCCCGCCGACATGAGCTGGACATACTCCAGCTTGGGCGCCTCGTCGGGCTTGGGCAGGGCCTTGAACGTAAACGCGAGCGTGACATCCTTCCATTCTTCCGCCGGCAGCGGATCCACGGGCTCAAAGTCGATATCCGGCAGCTGATGAAACCGGACCTCCAGGTCGGGGAACTTTGCAGAAAGCTTTTCGATAAAGTCGTTGGGTCGTTCCCAGGGAGTGACCATCAAGAGCTTGTGGCCCTTGAGCGTCTTGTTGGTGCCGACTCGGATCAGCATGGTGCGCATGCATGGGAGTCAAAGGAGCGAAAATGGGTGTGCAAGTCGGGGAGCAAGATTGGTCGGCTCGGATCGGGTGCTGGGCAGTTGTGAGCAGCGAAACCCTCACATGCAGTGGCTCAGGCGGGTTGATACGTCAACAAGGCTAAACCGAGGCTCTCAGTAGTCTCCGTTGGCTATGCAACCGATTCCCTGTCCGTAAACAATGTTGAGGCACGGATGCTAATCGAGACTAAAATGATTGTGCTCGGCGCTGTAGCTGAAGCATGAGACGCCGGTTCAGGAGTTCAGTGACCCCGACCCCGTTATCCACGGCGGGTTGCTGAGGCCGGTTTGGGCCAAAGACCCGTTGGAATAGTAGGATGCATAGTTTAGTGTGAAGGACGGGAGAAATCGGATTCACGCGTGGATTTGAAGGAAAACAGGGAAGAAATTGGGAGAAAACCCCCCAAGATTCTCTGCTGCCTTGTCCAATGTCCTCCCTTCAAGGACTAGCTCCATCGCTAATGGAACAGTGCACTAAACCTATTACGAAAGCCGGGGCAAGCGCTGAACGAAGCCACTGACGCCTCCGCAAATCACTGAACTCAACCTCGACTTCCACTGCTCGTCGGGAACGACTGCATCATTTGGCCAAAATCGCTGTCATCGTGATTTGATGCTACCGCTCATCTAGTTCAAAGACCCAACTGCCTTCATCCCATCGCTAAACCGACCCGTCCGGAAACGAAGCCTCGTGCAGCCTGATCTGAACCCCCGTCGCGCTCCTGTTCTCAATCGTGTGGTGGAACTTCATGGGCGCGTCCTTCGGCCACTCCAGGTTCTCAACCCGGTCGTACCGCTGCAACAGCCGAACAATGACATACGCTGCCTTGATGCGTGCAAAATGCTCTAGACACATGTCAGCCAGTACCATTATCACAGAGTTAGTCCGTCAAGGATCACTCACGTCCTAGACACTGGCGGGCTCCTCCGCCAAATGGGATGAACTCAAACCCAAACTTCCGCCCGCCATCTTCAACCCACCTCTCCGGTCTAAACTGCTCTACATCCGGTCCCCACAGATCCTCTCGCCTTAACATGGCAAAGGTCGGGATCAGGACCTGGGTCCCCTTGGGAACGAACACAGGCTTGTCGCGGTTCGGACCCCCACCGCGAGGCAGAACCGTGTCGCGAAGAGCAACGCGTTCGTTCAGGGGCACCACAGGGGCCATGCGGAGCGCCTCATTGATGACGGCATAGAGATACGGCACCGAATCCCGGAGAACTCTGAACTCAATCCCCGTCGGCCCGGACTGCCTGAAGGGACCAAACTGCTGCACGACTTCATTCCGCAGCTTAGCCAGCACGCCCGGATGCCGCGCCAAGAAGTAAAAGACCCACCCCAGCAGCGAGGCCGTCGTGTCGCGGCCCGCCGTCAGGATGTTGAGCGTCTGGCTGCGCAGCTCGACAGGGTCCTTGGTAGCCTTGGCGAGTTCGTGCAGAAGGACAAAGCGGTCCTTGGAGGGTTGCCCGGCCTCGGACTGGAGACCATCCAGGTACTTGTCCCCGCGGCTGAGGCGGAGCTGCACAAACCAATCGGCATACTTGTGGATGGCGGCGCAGTGGGCGTAGAACTTTCGCGTCGGAAGCAGCCAGCGGAACCGCCCAAACGCGCCGCGCGTCTCGATCCACAGCTTCCCGCCGTCCATGTGCATGCCGATGTTCTCGCGGTCCGGCGCGTCGTAGCCCGGAATCACGGGGAGCTCGAGCCGCTGGGACGGGTTCTGCGAGTGCACCGAGTAGCCGTAGATCAGTTCGGTCGTGATGTCGAGGGTGAGGTTGTAGAACAGGGGCAGCAGGTCGAATTTGGGCGTCCAGCCAGCGTCGAGACCGGCACCGGCGCATGGACTGTAGCGTCTGTCGATCGCCGCAAACAGCTCCTGAACATGGCGCTCAATCAGGTCGAGGTCGTTGATCTGGTCCATGCTGAACTGCGGGCGGACGAGGGCGCGCGAATGCTTCCAGTGTTCGCCGCGCGCCGTGAAGACGCCGTCGCCGAACATGGGCGCCCAGCTGGCCGTTCGGTACTCGCCAATGTCCCAGTCCTGCGACTCGGTAGCGAGTACTGCTTGCACGTTGGCCGGGTCGCGGGTCATCATGACCTCGAAGTCGAAGATGGGCACATAAAAGGTGTGCACGTCCTTGCCCATCTCGGCATCCGTGGTCTGGGCGACATACTGAGGGCCCCAGTCGTCCTTTGTTGCCCTAATGCTCTCGACGAACCAGCCGAACCCGAGGAAGCCTTTTCTGCGCAAGACGGGAAGAGGAGCGCATCCTCGACGAGCGGCTTCCCTCTCAATAGCCTTTTTAGCGGCTCGCCTCGACCATGGGTAGATAACGAACAAGTAAAACAGGGCGGCGCCTGCGGTCACGGGCAAGAGAAACATGATTCGAGGATGGGTAGCCGAGGGAAGTCAGATCACTGTTCCTGGATCGAATCGATGAGCATTGGCTACACAAGAAACTCGAAACGAAGGGGTCAAGGAACCGGATAAGCCTCGAAAAATTTAAGTAGCTATGCTCGGTAATGAGTGAAGATGGTTGGGGAACTAATGGAACCGTCGCGGACGGTGTGCGGTGACATGTGGAGGTTGATTCTTGACAGGCAGGAACCAGGAGTACTCGGTCCCGCTGTGGCAAGGGCTCGGACGGCAAGTGCGTGCCTGGAGGCTGGCTTCGCTAGGGCAGGAACGACTCTTGCACCTGGAAACCACCTAAGCCGCCCATCTAATCGTGCAAGTAGCTATGTGCCTTATTCAGAGAGTTTGTTTTGTTCAGGTGGTCGATGCGACTCGATGGTGCCGCCCGTCATTTGGAGCGAGCGCCTGCCCCTGAATCGATAGGGGGATCATAACCTACGCTAGGGCATCAAACGTGGGCCAAAGCAATGGTAACAACCCGGCGGGACCGCAACCAAAACATTGGTATCCCTTGCCTCGACCATGCACGGGCTCTATCCAGGGAAGAAACACTGGTGAGGAAGTCTGATTACGGGCAAGATGTAAACAAAGCAAGAGTGCGTTTGACCATCGACGTATGCTGGGCGTTCTTGCCCGTTGTCCTGGTATTTAAGCAGCCGCTGAAACCCGGGAAACAGCGACGGAGGATCTGGCAGCACTTCTTGCCGGTTTCTATGCCAATTTTTCGTCACTGTCACCATTCACGCACTCACCCATTGTCGGTCGACCGCCAATCTCGACCGAACCACGTACTAGCATCTAGTCCACAACACCAAGACCCGTCACTGCAGCCATGGCCGGAAGAATAGCCTCGCTCGCTCTCTCCGTCATTCAAATGTCCACGTCCCTCGTGATGTCGGCCCCATCCATAAAAGTACCCTCCCGCTACTCGGGCGAGGCGCAGAAGTTAGCAGACCCGAACTACGGCGCCAGGCCCGGCCAGTCAGATCACTACAGCTCCTACTGGGGCGAGGACAGGCCCTTCCCCGGCAACATCACCGATCCCATCTTCCCGACCAAGGAGGGACCGCCTGGCGAGGACGACTATGTCTGGCAAAACCTGCTGGCGGCCGAGTGGGTCATCTTTGAGTTCTACCAGCAAGGCATCGAGACCTTCAGCGACGAAGACTTTGTCAAAGTCGGCATGCCAAACACGACGCGCCGCCGCCTCATGGAGATCCGCAACAACGAAGCCGGCCATCTCCGCATCTTCCAAAACAAAATCTCGCCCACCTCCATCAAGCCCGGCCCCTGCAAGTACATGTTCCCACTGACCGACCCGCTCGGGTACCTGGCCTTCCTCACGGTTCTCGAGATCTCCAGCATGGTGTTCTTGTCCGGCCTGGTGCAGCAGACCAAGGACACCTCCAACATGGGCGCCATGCTTGCCGTTTCCGAGACAGAGGCCCGCCACGAGGCGTGGGCACTGATGGACCTCTGGAAGACGAACCCGCTGGCGGGGCCGTCGGACACGGCATTCCCCTACGCCAACCAGATCCTCGACAGCACCAACAACCTCATCGTCCCGGGGAGCTGCCCGCCCGAGAATCCGGAGTACCCGTATCCGCGCCAGCGTCTGCCCGCGCTGTCGGCCGCGCCGGATACCAAGAGCCTGGCGCCGGGAGCCAGGATTAAACTGGCCTTTCCCGACCCGACCAACCAGCCTGTCTTTGAGAAGTACACGCATTACTATGCTGTCTTTTGCCATGGCTTGACGAATGTCAGCATGCCCCTCAACACGTACGGCTGGCCCGAGAAGGATATTTGGGTTAAGATTCCCAAGAACTTTGAAACTCGTGGTGCTATTGTGGCCTTGATTGCCAACAAGGCGGGCGCGCCTACCAAGGAGTCGGTCGTTGCTGGGCCTTCTGTTATTCTGGAGCAGCCGGTGCAGCTTGGAGCGGCGTTGCTCCGTGGGGGGAAGCCTGAGTAGGCTGATCAAGTGGTATTTTGGTACAGATGCTGCTGATGTTGTTGATACTGGGAGATATCGTGGTCAGAATGTTTAGCGAGCTTCTTGTTTCTTCTTTCAGAAGAGTCAGGCACGACAATGGAGTGCTGTACGCAGCGACAAAGATGTGATAGGTATTAGAACATGTTGTTGGACAAAGACGGCTCTGGTCCAATGCGTTCATCTGCTTACCCGCTTCCATAGCCAGTTGCAGACCAAGGTGAATATGTCTGGACAGTGTCTTGCAAAGAAGCAAATGATCAACTAGATGCATCAGTCAAGTGCTCTATATAAGTTCCGCCTCGCATTGGAATGTCAAGTACGAAGCTCGAAACAAACTTCACCAACCTCCCAGCCTCGATCCCTCGGACACAATTGCCAACTGTACAGTACCTGTAGACTGTAGTCATCCGTATCACAACACCAACACCATGGGCAGCACTCCCAAGCCAGCCAACGCGATGGACAAAATGAGACTGTTGCGTCTCACATACCGCGGCAAGCCAGACCTTCATGATGACTCGGATTACAAAGCCCAGTTCAAGCGAGACAACCCAGCCCTCTACTACAAATGGTTCATGGACGACGAGCGGCAGAATGTCAGAAATGTCGGGTTTGCTCAGCCAAACAGCGTAATCCACGAGGCCATTCTCACCGACGACGCCGAACTCCTGACATTCCTCATGCAACTGGGCAACTTTGCCCGCGACAAGACCACCCGCAACGGCCGCATGCTCTGGGCACAGGGAGGACATGGTATTGAATTGCTTATGAACCTGTGCATCCGCTCCGGGGCTGCTGAGTGTCTGAAATTCCTGATGGACTGGACGGCCAAGCCGGGGATTCCGTTTAAGTTTGATGAGAAGAAGTTGTATGAGCGAGCGAGGGACCTGGCGATTAGTACAGACCCCGACATCGAGCCACGGATTGAGTGCTTATTGCTCCTGGACTCGTTGAAGCCAGGGAACCGGGCAGCGAATGCCAAAGCGGACGGTCTGTACGGGACTCTCCTCTCGCGGGCCTGGTCGCCGGGTGCCGTGATGCAGCTTGCCGACTTGCTGCCGCCTGACACAGATTTCATGCCTTTCGTGCTAGCGAACTGCAGGATTCGGATGCGCCAGCCCGAGATCATCCGGGTGCTTCTGAACAAGATTGACCGGAAGCTCTGGAACTCCCTCGTCATGTATAAGGGGAGGCTTGCCACGCCCATGTCCATGGCTGCTGAGGGACTGCATGTCAATGTGATGACCATGCTGCTCAGAAAGGGCGTCCAGCCGTTTGAGCACCACATGGCTGAGGGGCTGATCTCGGCGGGGTGCAATCCGTTGTTTGCCGTGGTCAATCAGGAGTTGCCGGGCAAGCCTGAGATTCAGCTCCCGGGTGGTCGTGAGGTTGAAGACGAGACCATGCGCAAACAGCTCCTCCGACAATGGAAGTCCCGTGTGAAACCCCACGCCTCACTGATGCGCACAGCCGTCGCCATGCTCGTCGACGCCGCCAAGGTCGATTTCACCTCCCACCCGCACCCACACCCTGCACGAGAGGACGAACTAACCGAAATGCTCGACATCGCCGCGATAAGCTACATCCACACCCTCCGCAACTTCCTGCTCCGCAACCTCCCCTGGCAACTGCCCGCAGAGCAAGCCTCCAAACTGCTTGTCCCAGTCTCCGACCCGCTGCGTAGAACCACAGTGTGGGAGGCACAGAACCCAATCGAGCCTGGACTTCCGACTCGCGGACTGCCGCCGACGGTTACCTGGCGCAAGGGTTTGTCGAGCGGGAGGTTGCTGAGGGAGATGCTGGCTGAGTATGGGGTGGAGTTGCAGCCAGAGTTTATCGATATCTGGCATATCCTCGCGTCGGCGAATGTGGTGGATGAGGCGGAGAGATGGCTTCAGGTGGGCTCGGACCGTCACTCGGAGGGCATGCCGACTGATACCAGAACGCAGAAAGGGAAGCAGACGGGATCGTGGAGCTCGCTGGATTGTTTGTATGATCTGATCGTTGCTGCTGATCGGCTGCCACAGACAAACATGCCGTTGCCAAGTGAAGGGGAAGCCACTGACGCAGAGCAAGATGTGGTGGCTCCTGCCCCTGAACAGCTCTCTGCCCATACCACTGAGCAGCTCTCTGTCGTCGACGCCGCCGAAGTGGCCGATGGTGAAGAGAGCACGTCCGAGGACGACAAAGAGTGAGTCATATTGATGTTCTCGTCCAGTTTTCACTGCCCCCAAGATTGCTCGCTAACGGACTTTGATCAGTGACTCGGATAGTATTGACCAACGCATCCCGGAGATCCAGAGCAGCAATCAAGAGCCCAGCCCGTGGAAAACCACCCTTCAACCGATACCGGAGACAGACGAGGTTGAATCAGACTCGGAGCCATTCGTTAATATAACAATCGATGAGAAAGACGAGCTGCATATAACACTTCTGTATGACAACGACGTCTGAACCACTACAGATTGTTAGCCAATGTCAACTCTCAACAATACCAATGCAGTCTTACCAGATGAAACTTCCTTGTGTGGTCAATCGGTGAGTACACATTCTATGTACAAGAACCTCGTAGAAAAGATGACTTTCATGTATGTCCCTGAGAACCTGACGCCCTAAGATGCGTCTATCGTAGCCATGCTTATATATATGACTTGGGCCGCAAAGCTCGCAAGTAAAAAAAGATAAAAAACCAATGCTAAGCCGCACACAGCATGCAAACCGCCAACAGTAGAATACATGTAGTGCTTTGACAACATGCTCCTCACGTGCAACTGCCTTAAAACGGTGAAAGGTGCTGCCGTCATATATCCGGCATGGCATACCTCAACCAAAACGCAGCAACATCTCTCGGCGCCACCTCCACCCTAAACAGCTCCTCCTCCTCCTCCCCCCGCATCACAACCAAATCAAACTTCCTAGGCTCGGCCGCATTGGGCTGCATTGACGCCAGCCGACAATCCACAAGCCTAAACTGCGCTCCCCAAAGTCAATGATTAAGAAGCACCCGGAGCCCTCGCCGCAATGGAGCAAGCCAATCTCCGTTTGCGCACCACCATCAGCAGTCTGTTTTGAAAACACACAGAACTCATTCAGGCAGTTAGCCTTCAAATGTTCTTTCAGCGTTTGGCTATGTCCCGTGCCGGACCGGTCGGGGGAGCGAAGCGCGTAGGCCAGCTTGCCAATGGCCAGCTTCTCAGCCGCCTCGTAGACTTCACATCCCAGGATACTTCCAATATCCCAATAACGCACTGGAGCGGCGGTGGGGAAGGTGAACTCGAACAGCCGGCAGAGCTCGCAGATCATGAGTGCGAGAAGTGCCGTCTTGGTGTCGAGGGTGGTTCCCGCCGGGGATGATGATGCGGGGCGCAGCGTCGCCATGGCTTCGAGGAAGGCCAGGCCTGAACGCGGGGAGGAGCCGTGCTCGGCTTTGATAAGTGAGGTGATGAGGTTGGCGAGATGTTCAAACTGTTCGGTGGTCGTTTCTCGATCTGGAAAGAGGAGGCAGAGCTCGGCGAAGCGCTCCTCGAGGCTCGGTCATAATGTGACGGGAGCGGGTTTGCATTGCGTCCAGGACTCCTTAAGCCCCCAGTACCCCGCCGCTGGAATCGTGTTGATGGGTGGTATTTCTGAGACTGACCCGAGCCTTTCCACGAAGCTCAGAAGGACATCGCTACGTGGTTTCTGTGCATCGATCTGATAAACGCGGCATAGCACATCCGTTACTCCAGCGCCCAGGTGTGCGAGACGCCGTGCCGGATCCTGTACTCCATCCGCCTGCGTGACACTGGGAATCGCCAATGCTGTTCGGTCCAATGCTTCCGACTCTATATATGGCGTCTGAGACGACCGGCGCGTGACAGGGTCCTCGTATAGCTCCGGAATGGTTTGCCCATTCAACGTTAAGAACGGCTGCGTTGCTTCCAGCGGTGAAACAGGTGAAACCGGCAAGTCCGCCGCATGTTGTACCCGTTCCAATTGTTGGATACTGCCTTGTTGTCTGCGGATTTGGGCTCTCAGGGTTTCAACTTCGGCATCTCTCGCCTTGGTCAGATTCCGGAGCCCGATGATCTCGGCACCGTGCCTTACGGCTTCTGCCTGCTTCTGCTGGCAAAGATCCCGAAGGCGGATGAACTCCGCCTTTTCTTTTCCGCTGCTGGCCTCATGTTCTCGGATGAGGCTCTCCAGGTTGCTGATTTCTGATCTCTGTCTTTCGAGCTCCGCGTCCTTATCCCTGAGGAGGGTCACTAGGCGCGCGGTTTCGGCCCTGTATTTTTCCAAATCGGCCTCCCTCTCTCTCACCTGGCCGTGTAGCCGGTCGTTTTCAGCCTTGGCATCCTCGCAGAATGAGTCTCTCTCCCGCACAAGACTCTGCAGTCTGCTAATCTCAGCGGCTGCCTCTTCCCTTTCCACATCCCGCTCCGGGACAGGGGCTTGGTGGCTTTGGCTTTGAGTCACTTGTTCGCCCTCGCCAGAACGCAGATCAGGGGCAGGCTCGGGTTTGCTTTGGGTAGAAGCGGGCTCCTTGGCTGGTGACTGTGTTGAGTCCCTTCCCAGGATAACCTTTTGCAGCTCGGCTCTTAATTTCTCTCTTTCGATGTCCCTTTCTCTCACAAGGGCCTGGAGCCTTTGTATTTCTTCCTGTTTCTTGGCCACACATGCATGCATGTCTCGACCGCTCCTCTTCTGTCTTTCGATCGTCGCGCGTTTTTCCTCGATCTCGCGTTTCATCCGGTCAAAATTTGATCTTTGTTCTTTCGCCTCCTTGCTCAGGGCATCGATCTGCTGCCTCAGCTGCTGCGTTGCGCAATCTATTTTCCAATTCGCCGCTCTTTCGTGATCAAGAGCCCTTTGCAGTTGATTTTCCCTGGCGTGAAGCTGGCTGATTTCTTCCTCGCAGCCATCCACAGCAGCTACCATACCGCGATAGACCTCCCGTAACCGGAACAGGTTTCCCTGGATACTCGCAACCACACGTGGCAGAACCTGGCTCTGTGGTTGACCCGAGTTGGTGGCGAGGGACAGGAGAGAATTCGTCTGGACAAAAATCCCATCCACTGCATCGTTGAAGGCCTGATCTAGGTCGGGGGATTGTCTGTCCTCGTCACCTGCTGCGTCGCTTGCTTCTGCTTTGGCCGGGCCCAATATTGACCACGAATCTTGTGCTCTTCGGCCCCTGGCGGTCGAACAGGATAGCCACCGAGAGAGGGTGGCTGGGCCGGCGTTGCATCACGGTCGTCGTCGACATCACGGCTATCATCTCACTTGAAATCCTGCAGTAATGGAGGCGAGTGTGGCCGTACGGGTACCAATACTGGGGGCCCTCGGGCGTGGCCGCGTGGTGGCGGCGAGTGATCCCGCCGGGGCCTTTTGTTGGGATAGCCCCTAGGCCCTGTGGGCACCGTGGGCGGCGGCCTGTAGCAATCGTACATGTTGCGTGTCTCCATTGCTGCTTATCCTTCACTTGGCTGGGTATGCATTGAGAATTTGAGATTTGTTCACGCCTCACGCCTGCCGCCGACGTGAAATTAAAGTGGTTTTCGGGGTTTCCACGCTAGTCGCGAAAAGGTTTCGCAGGTGGATTACGTAGTGGATCTGCTCCGAGTCCAGGCCCGCGCTGCCCCTTCTCGTCTCCACCACAGTGGGTCCTGACTCGAGCAGATCGCGATCACCACTTTCCGATCTTCAATTTGCGAACCGATTTTCTTAACCAAAATGGGACGACGGCCTCAGATCTACCACGACGGTCTCCAAACGGCCGCCGTGGGCACATGCCAAATTGAAGGGCACCCAGCCAAAGCTTGTATGCACCAACATTGAAGCACCATCTTCTTTATCGACCGTCGTTGCCTACCAATTTTGAAGCCATCGCCAACACCCATTCCGCACAATCTCCTTCACAGAGCGGGCACGGCGGGCAGGGTTCAAGCCCAGGGTGAATTGCCAGATCTTGGATACTTTGGGCCCTGCTTCAGACAGCCAGATCAGCACAAATTCACAACGGAGAGTTCGGATGGCTTACTGCAACCCACACCCTAGCGCTGCCGATCGAAAATGTCACTTTTCGACGCTCCAGTATCCATGATGCTGATCTGGGGGTGTGGAGCAGGGCCTGAACCGGATGTGACCGAGAGTTGTCGAAGCGCCTCAGTCAAGTTGATGGAACAGATGGTCCACTGATGACTCCCCGGTACCCGAAAATTACCTGCCTAGGTAGTCAAAACTAGGAGGTTACCATTAGGAAACGGCGTCCACCGGTCGAGCCTTGCGCAAGCAACGATTGATCTGCATCACGGCCGGAAGCTGATGCTCGTCAAGATTTAATGGTATTTCAGGCAACGCTAACAAAGAAACGAGAAGCAAGCTAGAACATAATTCCGTTACCAAGGCTCATGGATGCGCGTGGCATTCAGCTCGTTATGCTGGCTGCTCCTGTCTTCGGAGATATCGAAATCAGTCGTAACAACAATGCCCTTGGTCTCTTTTTGCCCATCCTGCGCCGTGGTGGAAACCGCACCGCCTGCAGCAGTAACAGTAGCAGTACCCGCACCAGACCGCATGCTTTGCAGCTTGATCTCGTTGACGATGCGCTCCTCGCTCTCGGTGAAGGACACGTTAGTAAGGGGATTCACCCCTTTTGATGAGCTGGTATGCGGGCCACGGCGACGGTTGCTGCGCGACTCAGACCCCCCAGGACCGCCGCCGCCCCCAATGCTCCGGAACCCGTCAGGCGTCCTCAGCTTGTCGGTAGTGCGCGCCGAGCTGCCGATCAGCGGCTTGAGCCACGTCCGGAAGAGCGGGAACACCATGGGGAGGTTGGTCGTGACGACCGCCACGAAGGCCTCGCGCGTGCCCCATGCGCCGGCAAGCTCGGCGCCATTGACGTCGTCCTTCAAGGGCATCAAGTTAGCGAGAGCATCTGGTCGAATGTTATTGAGATTTGACATACCACAATGACAAAGACAGTCTTCAGCGTGGCGCAGACGAGGACGAAGATGCCGGCGCCAAGCACAAGACTCGATGCGATCTTCTCCACCAGCCGCAGACGCGATACCCAGAGCAGCGGGAGCGGTATCAGGATGAGATAGATATCTGACGAGATGTTTGCAGCAAACGACGCCCAGACGATAGGCCTGGACACGGCGGCCTGGCACAAGTTGCCCGGGTCCGGGTTGATTTGCCAGTAGTTGTGGAAGGGCATGCACGTGAGGAAGACGGCGAAGATGGAGGCGAGAAAGCCCGCAAAGACGAGCGCGAACCCAACATGCACGCGGATGCGATGGCGGCGGCTCAGGCCGTTCTGGCAGCGGGTAAGCCTTCACAACAGCCGTGGTGAGAAACTTGGAAAGGGCTAACATACCGTAAGTCGCAGGTAAAAGAACAGCATGGCGAACTTGAGCACCAGCATCAAGGCCGCGTAGCAAGACCACCCCGCCACCTGGATCTTTGAACCAATCACCCTCATCTCGTACTCCGGGCTATCTGGTGACAAGGCAGCCCGTTGTGCATCTGTCATGCCATTGTTTGCCAGCCCACGGGCAAGGTTGCCGACTTCGTATCCCAGGGTCGATTGTGTCGAGTAGAGCAGCTGCAGAGGCGATGGTTAAACGGCGTCGTGTCAACATTGAAGCACCCTGTCGATGCGAAAGGGATTTTCTTGAGAGTGCTTACAAGAGCAACCCATACGAGGTAGTCATCTGCCTCGAAATGCTTCCAGCCCACAGCCCTGACCCGCGCATACGTCCGCAGGACCGTGACCAGGACTCCGAAGGCGTACAGCGTCCATAGCGTGACGTTGAATGTGCGCGCCGCCTCGGCAGCCGCCGCTTGAGCCGCCGCTTGCGCCGCGGGGTCCGGGGAAGACGCCTCAGACATGTGTAGTCCGGGGAGTCGGGGCGTCGATCACGATCGGCGAGGGCTTTCTGAGGGTGACGGAACCCACGAAGGTCAAATAGGAGATTTGTGGATGTATAAGGCATGGCTGACCTCTGGGATAGGTGAGATACTCTTGCACGGTATGGACAGTGACCTTGATGCGTGAAAAGAAAGGATCGACAGAAAAGTAACCGAAACGAGGAGCCAAGAAGCCCTGCGCATCATCCGTGATGGCGCGATTCCTGCGCAGTGGTTGGCCCGGTGCTGCCGAGGGATGCTTCTGCGTCTTTGATCACTCTTCAGGGCACTTCCAGGCTGTTGGTTCCTGCAGATATTTGCTTATTATTCGCGTGCTGCGGGGGTAAGTCACTTCGACTACCCAATTCCTACCACACATTCACTGTCTGCATGCAGGATGCAAATTTCGTTCTGCCTTCAGCTTCCGGGCAACCTGAAAAGGATTCGTTCCCTGACCTTTCCATGTTGCATTTTGCCTTCGCAGTACACAACCTAGAACAGGGCTGTCCTGTTCTCAAATGCCGCGGAACTAACTTTCATGCCAAGTGTAGCCTTCATCCCCGGGTCGCCTTTGCTAGGAAAGTTTATCCGCCCACCTGCCTTTCCCTAGCCCTTCGAAGCCTCGGTATACGAACTCATCGGTGCCCTCGACACCTTGTTGGAGCTGCTGCAGCTCAGTGCAGTAGTCTACGGCACAGCACTGGGCACTGCAGCGCCAAGCAGCCAGCCGAGATCCAGGTCCCTGGGCCCCTGGCAGTTGGCTAGAATCCTGCATGGTAGCCGGTTATTGTTGCGGATACGGGTTCACACGGTTCAAGAGCCGACTGGATGCTCCCCCACGTTGCGACATCGCACGGCAGCGTTGACGGGCGACACACCATCCTCAGTAAACGTGCCGGATGCATAGATCTCGCTCGAATCAACTGTACGCAACGGGGCGGAGATTAAGTATAGTTCATAGGTATATTGTATATATCATCGCAGCCGAGCTTACCAAGGCCGATAGATGGAGGTCAAAGGGGCATTTGCTAACTCCTTTTATCCATGCAGGCAGGACTCTAGTGAAAGCCCACGTTGCAGTGCTGCGTGGGGCGCATGAGGAGAAGACAGGGCCAGCATCCAGCACCGGGGAAGAGGATCGCACACCGAGACCGCATCTGTGCCATATAATAAGCACACCTAACTGTCCAAGCACTTGCTTCTGAGACGTTCCTGCCCGCGTAGCACAGTTGCTTTTCCCACGCGGAACCCCCATCTTGGCAAACTCCCGCGCCGTGTAACCTCGACAATGCGCTGGCTTCAGGCGAAACTCGTGGCAACTGCTGCCGTCTTGGCTTTGCAGTTTGCAGTTGCGACGCCGGTACCGCAGTCAGAGACCGATTCCCTCGAGGACGTAGCTGACACCGCGCGCCTCCCGGGCTGCAATTTGGCCGAGATCTTGAAACTCGCATCATACCTCTCCAAGCAGGCCGAGGTCTTCTTTCCAGGCTCGGTTGATTTTGTAAAGTACTCGACGAGGTGGTCGAATTTGGAGACGCCCATTGTCAACATCACGGTTTTGCCAGCCACTGAGAACGACGTCGTCACCATTGTAAGCTATCCCCCGCCACACTAATTTTTACTGGTATTGTTAACCATACACAGGTTCGCGCCGCCAACAAGTGCAACATCCCCTTCCTCGCCTACAATGGCGTGCACGGAAGTATCACAACACTGGGCCGCATGGACTGGGGCATTGCCATCAACCTGGCCAAGCTGAGCGGCGTCACCATCGCGGCCAACGGACAAACAGCCACCATTGCCGGCGGCACCAACTCCAAGGTGGTCATAGACACGCTATGGGAGGCTGGCAAGCAGACCGTGACAGGCACCTGCGAGTGCGTCAGCTACATGGGCCCCGCGCTCGGAGGCGGACACGGCTGGCTGCAGGGCCACTACGGCCTCATCGCCGACCAGTTCGTGTCCATGAAAGTTGTGCTTGCTGATGGTAGCCTCAAAACCATCTCCGCTAGCTCGAACTCGGACCTGTTCTGGGCCATGAAGGGCGCGGGGCATAACTTTGGCATCGTCACCTCGGTGACTGTGAAAATCTACCCCCGCACCCACGTCAACTGGGCCATTGAGACGCTCATGTTCACCGGCGACAAGGTGAAAGCCCTCTACCAGGCCGCCAATGACCACCTCCTGCGTGCCCGCAACGGCAGCCAGCCGGTGGACATCATCAACTGGTCGTACTGGTTCAACCTCCCTCAGGTGGACCCGACCGGCCCCGTCATCGAGTTCTACATCATCCAGGAAGGTGTCCCCGTCGTCGACCCCGTTTACACCCAGCCGTTCCGCGCCCTGGGGCCCATCTCAGCCACCCCTGCCAACGGCACGTACCGCGACATGGCCCGGTGGGTCAACATCGCGCTGGACTCGCCTCCCTGCCAAAACGCCGGCATGGCTAACCCCCGCTTCCCGATTTACCTGCCGGAATACAACGCAACGGCCCAGGAAGAGGTATACGCCCTTTTCAAGGCAGCTACGAACGCTTCTTCGCCGTTTGCGAACTCGCTGTTTATGTTTGAGGGGTACTCGATGCAAGGGGTTGATGCTGTTGATGAAAACTCGGCGGCGTATGCCTTCCGTGAGGATAGGTTGCTGACGGCGCCTCTGGTGCAGTATGCTCCTGCTGGCCCGGTGAGGGATCAGCAGGCTAGGCAGTTGGGGAATCAGTTGAGGGAGGTTCTGCGTAGGGGCAGTGGGAGGAGTCAGATGCATACGTATGTGAATTATGCGTATGGGGATGAGAGCACTAAGGAGTGGTATGGTTTTGAGCAGTGGAGGCAGGATCGGCTGAGGGCGTTGAAGAAGAAGTATGATCCGAGGGGGAGGTTTAGTTTCTACGCGCCTGCTGCTTGAGCCGCTACATGTAAGGTCGCTCTACAGCTGGTTGCAGATAGGACGGGAATGTTGCCCATTATTGACTACCAGGCTGTGCTGTTAACACGAGCCCAGTCATAATCTACCTACGTACAGCCACCCCATACAGTCAGTCGAGGATCAGCGGCATGCAATCTCCCATACAAATCGCTTATGCTTCGCCAAAGCAAACTTCCATTCTCGCCTTACCACGCTCCTTTTACGTGGCATAGTCCTTACGCATTTAGGCACCCGTCCACACGGGCGGGCCGGGGACTTTGTAAGTCTGGGGAATCGAGTGGTCGTTGATGGGCACCTATCCACGATTAGCATTGGAACTAACAGCTCTGAGTCTTATCATCCTCAACTTACCCGAATGTTGGAGTCGGTGTTGCTGCAGTATCCGGGAATAGCCGCCTTGTACGAGGCATTCGGCTGCGCGGTGCCGGAGCCCGTGACGGTAATCTGGGCGCACTCGGGATAGAACTGCGGGTTGTTGGCCTGGTGCAGGGCAATCAACTCATGGCGGATGAGGTAGTTGCCCGGTGCGAGGCCCCCTGAGCACACAGTCAGTCAGTCACAACACACCCTTCCCCATAAGGTACTCATAGGGACACGTACTCGGAATCCTGCTAGTATACTTCTTATTCCCGCCCACAAGCTCCGCAATCTTCCATCCGGACGGCCTCTCAGTATCCAGGAAAACCTTGACACCATCACCGCTGAAACCCGCCTCGTCAATCTTGAACCATCCCGACCCGGACCCGTCGCACGAGCTGAAATCGCCGGGGCACTTGTACATCCACACGAGGATGGGGCCCTGGCTGTGCGTCCACTGCTGCCAGACGGCGGTCACCTCGTCGCCGGGGGCCGCCGTCGCGCTCAGTGTTGCCGAGGTGCCCCCGTTGCACCGCAGTTTGGCGTCGCTGCACGACATGATGGGGTTGTAGTCCGGCCATTGCCGCTGGATCACGTTCTTGGAGTTGGCGGGGGAGAAGCCTTGGTAGCTGTGGGTGTGTTAGGGGTATGATGATACTGGTAGGGAGGGATGGAATGGCTTACCCAGGGTATTCCTTGCCAGCGATGATGTAGCTGGTGACAGCGCCGTGTGCTGCTGCCTCCGCCGCGAGCAGGGCGACTGCGCCGAGGGCTGAGGTGAAGAGCATGTTGTCGGTGAGGCGGTATGCGACTGGGAGATGTCGTATTGCGTGCACAAGTGTATGGCGAGACTAATACCGTAGGGTTGAAGAGCCTGGTTCCTGGGATCTCAGATCTCTTGTCCCTGGCACAAACCACGAGTATTATAACTCTTCGCACGCGCCTACCAGCAGTCCACGAGAACGCCAGCCGGCATCTTGGCCCATCTTTCCCCAGGTTCTGCACCCCGGACCCAGTCCATCCATATACCGGCTAATAGCGAACCGCTGGGGATAATTGCGCCTTTAATGCACGCATGATTGGTTTCCTAGCCAGTGACTGGAGGAAGCACGCTTCGGCTAGCGTCTTGAATTAATATAAAGTGGCCACTCCCATCTTGGGCCGCTACTTTGGTCTTCCGCAGTACCGGAAAGAAGTGCCGGCCGTTCTCATCTCGATATTAGGCCGCACCTTGGCCCAGGCATGACGTGAGTCCTCGCGGGCGGCTGTCTACCAAGATCATCCCGTCATTCGGAGGCTGTCTGCGAGCTTCCAGCTTGTTTAGGATGCATAATCGGGCAAGGAGGAAAGGTAGTTTGGCCGAGACAACGGGTGCTGGGCCGCTATGATCACAATCAACCTACTGGCCTACATGCGTGCACCATCGGTAGTGGTCACCATCATGGAACGGAACTTTGCATCGTTGCTACAACTTACTGGATACAGCCCACTGCGTAGATCGGCTCGTCTCCTGTCGATCGGCGATCGCCCAGAACTTGGAATCAGCAGTACTAGTATCGGTAGTAGTACCTGTTTCTGAAAGTAGATGTAGTCGGGCCGTATCTCTTCGATGCCTATCTTTGCTCTTTCCTCACCCGGACATGGAAGCAGAGGTGCCGTCTTTACAGATCCACAGGCGGCTGTATCGGACCGTGTCTGGGACGATCACGAAAGAAACCAGGAACACTAAACCATGCTATCGGGAAGACAGTTTGACATCGATTGAAGTTGTAGAGCGCGGGCATCTGTTTGGTACCTACCTATATATCGTTAGAGGACATAGTGAACCAAGAACATAGTTCAAGGGGGTACCACCTTGGGGATCACACTTACGCTCCCAAGGGGTCTATGCAGATTGGGGCTCGCAGCAACGCAAGCCGCATCATACCCATCCTCCAGACATAGCAAGGTACCTATGTACCTACTACATCAGCCGCCCGGAGCTTGTCACGCATGATTCCGAGTCCATTCCACATGCGGCAATTTCTGTCTAGATGTTCCATGACACCAGACTATCAGGGTCCCATCTGCAGGTAGCTGTTCGAACCCCGGAAAGCCATGTCGATGATGCCATGTGCTCGATGCCAAGGATGGGATCTTGGTTCCCCTAGGTCTGCTATCAATGAATATAGCGGTGACCAATGTATTGCTGAAGGCAGAACCCTGTTAGGTAGACTTGTGCAGCTACAATCTCCCGATCGAAGGCATTGACTCTGATCGGCTGCCTCATTGTTCACACAGCAGGAAGCAGGGGATTACTAACTAATATGGCAGGAGGTCAGAACATAACATGTGACTTCGATGCGAGCAAGGAGGAGATCAATAACAACTTGACGTGCCGTCAAGCATTACTACACCTCATAATGATCCATGTTCACTGGCAGCTTTGCTTCAGGGGTATGTTGTCATTCTCTTTCATCGAAGTTGATGTCAACCTAAGGGGCACGGCAATGATGCTGGTAATGCCGTGCAGGTATTGTACCTGCCCTTTCCCTAGTATAGTGTAATGATAGGTACCAATCGCCGAAACCATGATCACCTACCTGGAGCATCTCCATATTGTCCTGGAGCATCGCATAGAATGCTGCATGGAAAACGGGCTGCGGTTATGCGATAGGCCTGGAGTGGTAGCCATGCTATCATAGGGACCCGACAGGCACATAACCAGTCTGATACATGGACTTCAAGATCTTCTACTGGGCTTGAGTTCGCCAGCCTTTGAGCTGTGGTGTATGCTTCTAGATACTAGGAGGTAGCTGATGGAGCGCAATGCTCAGCTCAGGACCATGTGCACAGGTTCATCCATGGCCTAGTACCACCGTCGCACGCCCGGATCATGGGGCATGAACCGCGAAGGCCTGGTCGTTCGGCTGGCCTCTTCATGTGCATACACAACCCTAATGGCTCTCGGTCAATGTCGACTTTTCAATGCGAGTCTGCGACTGTTGAACCTGCTAACACTCACGGATGACGGAACATGAAGCATCAAATCGGAGTGAACCCCGGATATAATCCGGGTTCCATCATCATCAAAGTTCAGCCTCCAGCTATTAGTGCCTACCAGTTGTGCCTCGGGTCAGCCAGGGCTATGCCGTACCTTTGGCCTTGACCAAGTCTGGCAACTGCTCACAAGATGATGGCGCCCACGTGCAGTTCTGCTCTTTTTGAGTGGCTCATGTTGGGTTCGCATTCGTCGCATTAGCTAAGTCGCGAGGCTATGGCCCCAAGGTCCATAAGCAGTCGGGGAGACTCCAAAACTCCATCCTTTTGGAGACCCTGCTACCAATTTTAGTATCTAAATTTAACAGCAACAAATCTTCCTGCTCAACAACACCGCATAAGCCGGCGGAAAAAGGACCCCGACAACAACATTGGACCACAACAGATCCACGAACGTATTGAGCAACTCAAAGCGAGTATAAGTCGTCAAGATGTTCGTTGATTGCTGTCGTTCAAGTGCCACCAGCAACGAGCTGCAGCATTGGAACGAGAACTTCACTGCATCGCATTTCTCCTCGCCTTGATCCGTCCGCATCACCAATTCACCCAACCACATCGCGATGCGCTGGCTTCAGGGCGCCGCGGCGCTCTGGGCACTGTTTGCCCCCCTATCCCACGCTGTGGTCGACGATCCAGCCAAGGACGCCGCCCCGTACCACCGGGAATTCGTCCTCTTCCGCAGCGCCAACATGGCCTCGCCCGACAAACTCTCCAGCGGGATCGGCTTCCACTCCTTCCGCATTCCCGCCGTAGTCCGCACCTCGACGGGCCGCATCCTGGCCTTCGCCGAAGGCCGCCGCCACACCAACGAGGACTTTGGCGACATCAACCTGGTCTACAAACGCACCAAAACCACCAACAACCACGGCGCCGACCCGGACGACTGGGAAGGCCTTAAAGAGGTAGTCGGCTCCGGATCGGGGACATGGGGCAACCCGACCCCCGTGGTCGACGGCGACACCATCTACCTCTTCATGTCGTGGAACGGCGGCGCGTACAGCCAGAACGGCAACAACAAGCTGCCCGACGGCAGCGTCACCAAGAAGATTGACACTTCCTGGGCGGGGCGCAGGCATCTGTACCTGACGCGCAGCACCGACGACGGCAAGACGTGGTCCAAGCCTGAAGATGTCACCAAGGAGCTGACCCCTGACGGGTGGGCGTGGGACGCCGTCGGGCCGGGGATCGGCATCAAGCTGACTACCGGCGAGCTGGTCGTCCCCGCGCAGCGGAGGAATATTATCGGGCGTGGTACCCCCGGAAACAGGACTTGGTCCCTGCAGATGTTGCCGGGGGGTGGGTCCGAGGGTACCATCGCGCAGACGCCGGATGGGAAGCTGTACCGGAATGACAGGCCTGGTGGGGATGGGGATTACAGACGGGTTGCGAGGGGCACGCTGACGTCGTTTGGAGCTTTTGCGGACGATACGGGTCTGCCGGATCCGAGGTGCGAAGGGTCGGTGCTGTTCTATAACCAGGCCGATGATGGTCCGGCGAGGACGATTTTTATGAACTCGGCTAGCAAGGACAGTCGACGGCATATGCGGGTGCGGATTAGTTATGACAAGGACGCGAAAAAGTGGAATTATGGGCGGGAGCTGAGCGACGCGCCGGTTTCTGGGGCTGGGTACGAGGGGGGGTATTCGAGCATGTGTAAGACGGCTGATTTCAAGATTGGTGCTCTGGTGGAGAGCGATTTCTACAATGACAAGGGGGGCGGGAACTCGTACCGGGCGATCATCTGGCGGAGGTTTAACCTGTCCTGGATCCTCCATGGGCCGCGGAATTAGGGGAGAAGGTGGACTGGATGGAGCCTGAGGCGGTCAATAAAGGAGATGGATCCGTACATACTACCTACATGTAACTTTTACTTACATTCGATTGTACATACTTGTTAGCTACATCTTAGGTTGCTAAATCGAGAACATACGCAGAGACGTGGGATTTCCGGGATGAAATCTTGCAGATCGCTCTGTACGGCACTGGTTATACTATCGAATTATAACTCCGAGTACCTAGGAGAGGCTATTAGTGCTTAAGGGGCGGCGAACACTAGCGGAGAGACTCGTGTGGAGGTGAAGCTGAGGAACCTCACACAGCTAGAAGCACGGATACATCAACTCTCCTTACTGGTAGTTTCCTGCTGAATCTCATGAAGCAACAACACTCTGCACTAAGATCTAGCCACATCACATCCAGCTAGTTTTCACCCCGAGAACATGAAGCGAAGCAACCACAGAACGCCCATACGCCAACTCCAGGCCTTTTGGATGCAACAGGAAACAAAACCATTGTCCAGTCCAGCCCAATCCAGTCGCTAACAGGTATCCCCAGTCTAGCAATCCCATCCATCATCCGGGCCACCACCCTAGCCAGCTTCACCACCCTAGCCAGCTTCACAACCCAAGCAATCATCCTTCCCCTACAGCATCCTCCCATAACAACACCTAAGCATGTCTCCGAGTCCCCTAACACGTCGCAACCCCTTTAGGGTGTAGGATGTGTGTATCATTTCCAACCGTAACAAGCAAAAGCAGTCTCCACCCCGACCGGCATCGTCGTCGTGGTAGTAAACACCCCCGGTGGGCCATATCCGGCCAGTGCCGTGCTGACGGCCAGGGCACAGCCATGGCAGTGCAGCCACCAGGTCGTGGTTGTGTATCGTGAGTAGGTGGTGAGTGTCTTGCCTGCTGACTGTTTGGGCTGGACTACAAAGGTTGTGCTGCATTCCCCTGATGATCCTGGTTCTGCCAGTATACCCCCGGCCGCATGTGCTGCTGGGTATTGCCTGGGTTCTGGTTGGTGTTGAGGGTACTCAGGGTAGGGTTGGGGGTTTGGGTTTTGGGCTTCCCGCCGTAACTCTGATGGTCTTGTGTTTGTTGCCGTCGGGAACGGGGCGGAGGTGCCGGTGATGGTGATGATAGGAGCTGGGACTGCAGTTCGAATTGGAATTGCCCCTAACACACCCGCCACCCCCGACCCAGAAGCAGCAGCAGCTCCACGTCCCACGGCAGCGGTAGTAGTCACCGACACCCCCCCTGCATCTGCCTCTCCCAGACCAATACTCCTCGGCACCACACTCGGCCGACATACCGTATTCCAATACGTACTCGGCGTGCCGACCCTAGCCGTGGCATTAATCCGTTGGTTCGGGCAAAAGTAGTAGTCCTTTTGAACAAGCAGGTTGTCACACCCGTTGCAGTTGACCTGGCGGGTCTGGAGCACGGTGGACGGGTAGACGGTCAGGGTGCCGTCCCAATCACACGGGTACCCCAGCGTCTCGGTCAGGGTGGTTGTGCATCCCTTCGACGGCAGCGGTTGGATGATGACGGTGTCGTCTTGTGGGAACGGCGGGCCGATGTTTAGCGCTTCGCGCAGTTCAAGGATTGCATTGTCGGGACGGGCGGGAGGTGTTGATGCCGGGGGTATGGGTGCTCCGTGGTCTGTGGGTATCCTTCCAGCCGGGTCTTGTTGCTGTGGTCGAATTAACCCGTCCCTCGGCTCGGGGGGAGCAATAGGGGTTGCGGGTACCCGCACCGCGAGTGCGGAGAGAAGAAGAAGCCGCAGCAGGTCCATCGTTGATGGTCTGGGCGACGGGAAAAGACGCAATGGGTTGCTAGCCAACGATGACGATCATATCCGGCTTTGTGCTTTATATGGCCGCTTCACCTCAATCGGGGCCACCTTGCCGTAGTCGTCAGCCCGGATAGAAGGTAAAAGCCAGCGTATCACTGCGGCGCCCAGACAGCTGCAACGCTCGCGTCCGTTGCAGTGTTGCAATGGTCTATGCAGCGCATCTCCAACTAGGGCATAAGCTGCGTGGCTAGACTGAGTGTATATTGAGTGAGTGCGCCCTAGGAAATCCCACGGGGTCTCGACCAAAGGGCAAATCCTGGATGCCGGGACAGCGGTGAGCTGCACGAGGACACAAAAACAAACAAGCTTTCCCCAATTCTGTCCTGATCCTCTCGCTGATGGTGGGACAGGCAACAATTTTTGGAAACAAAGACCAGGGCAGCCGATTCGGGGCCGGGACCGACAATATATTTGCACTATCCTGCTGCGTGCGAGGGATCCGGGTGCTGCAGCACCGCGAGCAGCCTGTTGCCCGGTACGTACACCGCTGGCTGGGCGATGTTACCCTCAGCGAGCGACGGCAGAAAGAGAGAAAATGCTGATAATGGAATGTAGAAAAGAAGGTGGCGAGTTGGTTGGGCGGGTAAATGCAAGGTAGCACAGGAACAGCTATCACTTTACCGTGGTTAAGGGGGAAGTTCAGGCCTGGGGAGCAGCCCCCATGAGGGAAGCCCTCCGCAGCGTCCGAATGGGGACATTGTTGGGTGGAAATGATCTCTCGTGAATGCCATCAATCCAGGGACGAGATAGAGCAGCGGAAGCACCGACCCGGGTTGGGATTCGAATGTTGCCTGGATGATCCGGGAGTAACACTTGACATGAGCCGATTCATGATCATCGATGGATATTGGTCAATTGGGTCCTCGGGACAACAATAGGGGCATAACTATAAATAGAACCTAAATTACACACATTAGCTCGATTTGTCTCAGAACGCTCACATACCTGTAAGGCACCCTGCAGTAGTACAGTACCTGGCTCATGCTCTGCAGGTCCGCCCAAAAGTTCTGGAGCTGCCTGTCCCCGGGCGTCGATCTGTACCTGAAAGCACCTTCCTCTCCTATCCGCGGGCATCTGCAGCCGACGCCTGCAAGCCACCATTCCCGGTTGAGTCGGCAGAGGTAACATTGAGCATTTAGCTTGAATTAATTGCCCTTGTCAGCAGGACGGCATGTTCCTTCAGGCATATCATCGCGCTCCCGGAGCCTCTTTTCCTCCCTGAGCTGCTCCCTGCACGTGTTATCCATGAGAACTGTGATCCCAAGCTCCCCATGTGGCGGCGAGAATCCGCACGCCATCCTCATCACGCTGAAAGACTTTATAGGTATCAAATTCTCTCTCTCCAAGGACAGCCACCCCTTTGGGAGCTAGTATACATCATCCTCCCTGCTTTGGAATAATGTGGTCGCCTGACAGCTCTGCTGCGGGCATCAACGGCAACAGCGGTAATTGACAACGCGGAGACCGGAAGACCGCACTTGCTGAACAGCGATGATATACATGGAACGGGCCTATCTGGCAGCTCCTTCGATGATCCTCACCAGATCACAGGCCGGGACGGACAGCGTCGACGAGTTTAACCCGCGCCTCCTTTGAAGCTTCAACACTTCGTCGCGAGCACGCTGCTGGACCGTTCTTTCAGCGCTTGTTCCTCGCCGCGGAAGCCGTCGGATGGATGGCGACGGCCCTTGGGCCCAGTATTGCTCCCTCGGTTCGTCCGTCGTCTCCGCCGCGGCTGCTGCGATCTGGTCTGCACCTGCCACTTGCTATCGCCACAAGGCAGCCCTTCCGCCGGTGGCCCGGGGTGGTTTGAGCCCGCAGAACGATTCGTAGAGCGCATCCAGCCGCTGATTTAGAACGAGTCTATCCAAGAGAGTTGAAATCTTAGCTCAGGCTGCCAGAACCTCAGCTCCCAATAAAGAATTCCGCGTCGGGCAGGTTGAAGATGGACTGGAACCCCTGGGGTTGGAACTGTAGGAGATTAGCATACTTTTCAAAAAGGCAGTCCGGCTCATGCTACTTACGGTATCCCCCGAATCATACTCCCCGCGCCACCCGGCCTCCGTCCCATCCATCCACTCCATGATCGCAGCTGTACCCATATGCTGCCCTCCGTTAGCCATAGCCGGCACCACCGGCATCGCCGCGTTGCTGCCGGCCACATCCTCCAGCAGACGCAAACACTCCTCCAACTCCTCAGTAATAGTATTCAACACCAGACGTTCCACTTCCGCATCCGACGCGCCTCGCTGGAGTGCCTGAACCTGACTGAGCAGCGCAGAGTAGACAAGATACCCCTTAATATTGGTCTCCCCGCACCGAATGCGCCTCTTGGTCCAGCTAATCGAGTACTTGACCGCCTCAAGCAACTCATGTCTTGGTGCGGCGCCGCTTCCCACACCAATGCCGACCGACGGACTCGTGTCTGCTTCGTTGCCGGGCGCGCCTAGCCGATCCAGGGGGTAATCAATACTCATGCTCTGGCGGAACGACCGGTCCTCTTGCACCTGCCACAGCAGCTCCAGGCAGATCGTCAGCACAGCCAGGGTTGGAACCGAGCGGAACGCCCCGTAGCCGCACGTCGCGAGTCGCGTAAAGTCGTCGTTTTGACTGGCTGTGCCAGAGTCGCCTGCGGGCGATCCCGTGGCAATGGCTCGGTACAGTTTGAGTGACGTCTCGACGCACATCTTGCGGGCAAAGTAGTAGGCTGGATTGGTGTGAGCCGACACCAACCACGGATGGTTGAGAGCCAAGAAGAAGCGGTGCACCATGTGTTCGGCTAGCCGCAGCTGGAAAAGAGAGAGGCGCTTTGGAAGGATACCGGCAGGGTCGTACGCCGGCTGCAGGGTAGCGGAAAGTGCCCGGCATGCGCTCGTCAACTCAGTGTTCCACTTCAACGTTTCTTCGTACGTGGCCTGTGAGTTGAAATGGTTAACGTAGTGAGCAATCGCCAGTCGAACAGGAAACGAGCGAAGAAGCGCCAATTGAACAGTCGTCTGCGTAAACGACCCTGGTGGCCTCGGAGACGACAGGGCTCTATCGTCGTCGGCGAGCTGGTCGTCATCGTAGTTGGATGGCGGGCGCGTGTCGAAATCGGCTAGAACCAAAAGAGGAGGAGCGCCCGAGTCCAGGCTGGACTGCAAGACAATCTCCAGCACGGTCGCCCACAGCCTGCGCCTCATCTCGGCGCTGAACCCGGACATGTTGGGCAGGTTGTCGGGGTCGCGGTGGAGGCCGAGATACATGGCGGTCCGCAGCAGTGCGCCGGCGCCTATCCAGGCAAGGTCGCCGCCGATGCCGCACGTCTCCCTGGCGAGATGGAGCAGACACATGCTCTGGAGAGCACTGAAGCTGACGCGCGACTTGTCGGCCGACGAGACGAGCCAGATCTGCGCCTCGTGGATCCACTGCGAAGCCGACCGGCGGAGAGCAGTGACATCATCCTGAAAGCACGTCCCGATGGCCATGCACAGCTGGAGCTGCACGAGAAACGCCGGATCCGCAGCCTGGGGCTTGTCCAAGTACCTTTGATAGGCGCGGTAGAAGGTAGGACGATGGAGAATCCGGTAGACGCTCTCAAAGGTGCGGAAGTATGCATCAACCAGCCGGCTGATGGTCTCCTCAGGAGGCAGGGCCTGGCCTAGCTGCAAGGAATCATGGGTTGGAGCGCTCATAGACGTGATGGCTTTGCCCAAAGCTTTGCACTTTTGCAGCAGGATATGTGCACTGGAGTTCTTTTCTGTCCTGATGCGCTTTGCGAGTCCAATTATCAGAGGAAACTGTCGGGCTGTCAGCTACACTAGGAAAAGAGAAACGCTGGGCAAGGTGGGTACGAAGACAACCCACCAGCTTGTCTCCCTCAAGCAGCCTGCCCGAGGAGGCGTCTCGGATTGGGACAGGGTTCAACCGATACGAATTAGCGCCGTGGTCCGGCCGTTTCAGTGCCTCTGAAAGCTGCTGCTCCAGCTGTCGGATCCTCTCGGCGAGGGCGGCGGTGTTTCCGGGTCCGCAATCGCCTTGGTGGACCATAGGACTCGAGGTTGACAAGTGCTCTGGGGTCCTAGCGGGTGCGCCAGATGTGGGACTCAGACGCGGAGGATCCTGCTGCGGTGGTCCCGATGGTAGCTTCACCTCCCTGAAGGTGAAGCCCGGGCCAATGACTAGGCGTTCTTCGGCGATTGGCGACTGCCCTCGCTGCCCTGAAGCTGACGCGGGTGCCGGGGAGAGCCGCCAGAGCCGCGGCTTCGGCCGGCGAGCCTCCTCGTAGGTGCAGTTGACGATCTTGGACTTCCTGCAGCTGGCGCATGGCTCGCTGCGATCGCATCGGATCTTGCGAGTTCTGCACTGAATGCAGGAAAGTGCGGGCCGGTTGCGCCGTCTGGGCTCCGTCAGTTTGGCACCGCCGCCCGGTGCGGGTGGCGTTGTCGCAGGCGACGGCGCCGCGAGATCCGTTTCCACCTCCATGCGCGTCGGCGGTCCAAGAATGGATACAAGAGGCTCCAGGAGACAATTTCCAGCGAAGATCTGGAAACCGAGGGCGGGATGAACCTCCGCGAGGGTGCTGAGCTCTGGGTGCAGGATCGGCTCCGGGGTCGGGAACACGCCGGCGAAACGGAACGACGGTGGGGAGAGAAACGAACAAAGAATTAAGGTTAATAAAATAAATAATCCAAAACCAATTAAACCCGGCGGCTGTGGTATGTACAGGGTAAAGAAAAGGAGATCGAATGAGGTACGGAGCCGGGGCAAGTATCGGGATAGGGTGATGGAACTCGAGGATAGGGCCACACGAAGACTGCGGTGAAGTCGCGTCGTTCAGCGCTCCGGCCTGTGACACTGCGTCTGCTGCAGAAATGAGAAGCAACAGAGCAGCAGCAGCAGCAACGCACAAAAAGACGGGCCGGGCAAACCGAAAGTATCGGGATAGGGTGATGGAACTCGAGGATAGGGCCACACGAAGACTGCGGTGAAGTCGCGTCGTTCAGCGCTCCGGCCTGTGACACTGCGTCTGCTGCAGAAATGAGAAGCAACAGAGCAGCAGCAGCAGCAACGCACAAAAAGACGGGCCGGGCAAACCGACCTTCGTCTTCGTGCAAACCAGTGGCAGTCGGCAAGTAAGGTAAGATGAAGGTACGAATATTCGGAGCCAAAAGTGTCGTGGGTTTGGAGAAGTGTGCTTAGGTTGACTTGGCTGCACCTGCCCAGAGCCACTGCCCACAGTGCCCAGTGCCCACAAGCTTCAGATCGGCATCTCGGACGGAATGCGGGGGTTGGTCCTGCTAATCACCGACGCTTTGCCTCTTCGGGGCTAACGTCGGGTAGAAAATTCCGGGTCTTGATTGTCTAAGGGATGCTGTGCAAACATGAAGGCAATGTTTCCAATTCCGATCCCCTTGGTGAAGCATCAACACAAGATCCCTAATCGCACCGTCAGCAGGAACAAATTCAGTCCGGCCAATGCCCCTTTTGATTGGGGAGCCGCGAGCTGCCGTTCCAGCGGCTAGCCAACCAGAACGAGGGCAACCGCCATCAGCGCCCCTGGCACTAACGAACGTTACCTCAGCCGGCGTCTGTCTTTTCGGGTGCTAACGTAACGTAAGATGGTGCCAAGGCTGCCAGCGTCAGCGGGTCCATTATCTCCGCCGCCGGCCGGCTGGGTGAGACGGGAACAACGACGTGTGAACCCGAGGAGGTCCCGAGATGACAGGGCTTTTTCTAGGCTTCGTCATCTCCGAGGGTCGCTGTGTATCCGTATATTGCAAGCAATTCGTCTTCACTCTTCAAGAGCCAAGGAAAGGCATTACAATTACTGAAGTTAAACTTCTTTTTGATGACTGCCCTCTACATTCTGCTGGACACGGCAATTGCCGTTGACACAATTCTCTCCTTCGGATATTCTCAAAAATCGACCGAGTAACATTCGGCAAGTCCGTCCCCCACAAGCCGAGGACCCTGAGTTCTGGAGAGGAGTGCGAGCGCCCGGCCGTTAACAATTGGCCCGACAATCCAACACTGCCGCTTAACAACCTAAGGTAAGCACCTTTTCCTACAACACTTACAAATCTTCCGATCACTGCCGAACATAACTCGAGGTCGAAATCAGTACCGCTCTATCTAACGCTGTAGAACGGCTCAGCAAATATACTTGTAGCCCTCGCAAACCTGTCAGGCCTGACCTGACGGGACCGGCTTTAAGCAAACTTCCCCACTGGAAGCTATGTGGGATCCGGACGCGGAATCCGACTCGTCCCTGTGTGCAAGGTTGCTCAATCAGGAAATTGTCCGACTTCCGTTGGGTGACACAAAACGTGCCAAAGACCTGCCCGAAAGCAAACGTCTATGTATTGAGATCACTTTATTCTGATACGAACGATGATATGCTTCCACGGTGTGAGAGAATCTCCTGCTCGGCATCAATCATTGCGGACCATGAGCGTGCTTAACTCGAACCGGATCTTCGGAGATAAAACCGCCGCGAGGAACATGTGCATCTGCCCAGTAAACTCTTCCCCACTTCACTCCGACGGGTCCGATTGTCTGACATGATATGCGGCACCCCGAGCAATCAGGCAATCAACGGGTATGGATGGCATGGATGTTTCCAGCCACGTGTGATTCTGAGTTGACCTGGAGAGACGGTAGATCTTACCGCAGTAGCACCTTATCCACGCAATCTCTGCAATATCTGGGTAAAGCGCAGACGCTCCTGAGGTCTATCCTCACCTCAGAACTCCTGTAATCACCATGATTAGCTGACAACTCCTTCTGTCAACCACAGCAGTATCAACGGGCCTCGCTGGAGAGCCCAGAACAGGATGAAGATGTAGCAGCAGTCGCCAGTGGTAAGACGTTAGCAATCGCCTCGTGCCAGCTCTCAACACACCATCGATACAGTTGAAACTCCATGGTCGATTAAATAACCCTGCATATCTCGTCCAAATGTACAGAGTGATGACAAAAAAGAAGCCTGTGCCGCGAGCACCGAGACGTAGCATGCCCTTGGTTAATCATACACCAGGTTGCAGGTCTTGCGTCAATAGCGCCTCACTAGAGCCAGAGAGCGCGTGCTCCCAGTAGCCCCAAGTCAGTGACCTCCTACCAGGATACGCCTCATGTTCCCCGTCTTCAAATACCTGTCTATACCGGATTTCGCCCCCTCAAACCTCGCTAGACTCCACCATGCATTTTATTTAGAGGAGAAGCTCGAGGGGGTTCTCGACGACCTTCTTGAACTCCCGCATCCACTCGGCGCCGACCGCGCCGTCAACGACCTTGTGGTCAAAGCTGCCGGTCACGACGATCTGCTCATCCCATTCGACGCCTGTAGTGCCATCCTCGTTCTCGACGGGGACGGCCACCTTCTTAGTACTTCCCACTGCCAGGATTGCCGCCTGCGGAGGGTTGATGACGGCAGTGAAGCGCTCAACGGCCGGGTTCATGCCCATGTTGGATATGCTGATGGTGCCGCCCTGGTACTCCTCGGGCTTGAGCTTGTTCTCGCGGGCCTTCTTGGCGAGCTCCTTGACGGCGGCCGAAATGCTCTCAAGGCCCTTGCCCTCGACGCCCTTGACAATCGGCGTGATGAGACCGTTAGGGGTCGCCACGGCGACAGAGACATCGACCGTGTTGAACTGGCGGATCACGCCGTCGCGCCACGAGCTGTTGACCGCGGGCACCTTTTTGGATGCCACGGCCATGGCCTTGATCAAAAAGTCGTTGACCGAGAGCTTGTATTTCCCCTCGGCGGAGCTGTTGAGAGCCTGGCGCAGCTTCAGTAGCTTCGACACCGAGAGAGTAGAAGAGACGAAGTAGTGAGGATTCTCGGATACAGACTCCTTGAGGCGGGAGGCGATGGTCTTGCGCATGCTGCTGATAGGAATGTCCTCGTAGGCCGCGCCGGGGACAGCAGCAGCCACGGTGGCGGGAGCAGATGCCGCCTTCTTAACATCTTCCTCGGTGATCTTGCCGCCCGGGCCGGTACCCTTGAGGCTCTTCAGAGGCACGCCCTTTTCGAGGGCTAATCTTTTGGCGGCGGCAGAGATGTTGGGTTCACGGTCAAGGGCGGTCTCGAGCTTTCCGCTAGAGCCGGTATCTTCGGGCTCGGGAGCAGGGGTGGGTGCCGGGGCGGGAGCCGGCTCGGGTTCGGACTTGGCTTCCTTCGGGGCAGCGGGAGCCGCGGCTTCACCGCCGGCATCCTGGAGGGTGAAGTTCTCAAAGGCGCTGATATCGGTTCCTTCCTCGACCAAGACGCAAATCGGCTGCGGGCGGGAAGTACCGTTAGCCATTATTACCACATTTGCCGGGTGGGAAGTTCGGCGCATTCTTACATTGCCAACTGCGACGTCCTTCTCGCCAGTCTCCTTCAGCACCTTTGCGAGAACGCCTTCTTCTTGAAACTCAAAGTCCATTTGGGCCTTGTCTGTCTCAATCTCCACAAGCACCTCGCCCGGCGAGATGGAGTCGCCGGGCTTCTTCTGCCACGCGCCGATATTGCCCGCCGTCATTGTCGGCGACAGCGCCGGCATCTTGACGACGGTGTGTGGCGGGTAGGAAGCGTACCATCTTGTTAGACTCGGCATGGCAATGCGTGTGAGTCTGGCATGTTGGAGGGCTTGCCTCCGGAGGGCTGCGACGAGCATGGCGGCCGAGTGAGGGTTTAACAGGATGCGGTGGGATGCGAGCAGAGGAAGGAACGGTCCCGAAGCGTCGATAAGGACAGTCGGGCAGGCTCTAGCAGGACCTCGCAGCCGCGCCGAAGGTCAATTGAAGGGAGCGGGTGCAGAGATGGGGGATTGAAGGTGGCAGCCGGAGATCGGAGCGTTGATGCTGGTGATGCGGTTGGGGACCAGTTTTTTTTTACGTGCCCGGGTTCAACTCGTTGGGGAGCTTTAGCTTGCCTCACCCGAAGTGACAGGCCAGGCTTGGCATGGAAGGCACAGACCACCGGATTCACGAACGAGCGTAAATACTCCGTACAGGGTTCAGATACTGTAACGTAACTTAAAATACATACGGATTCCAGCAGCAAAAGTGTAGGCAATTCAAATCGAGGTTGATAATAAGAAAATCATCACTTCGTGTGATGTTCACTTTGTTCCGTTTATGTCCAAAACGACGCGAGCTTCTTCATAAGTTAAAGGCAGCGAGTGGAGACTGATGAACGCGGCTGGCATTTGACCGGCGATGGAGTGGGTCGTCGCTACTTGGGCCATTTCCAGAAACTGTCGCGGAAGGCGGCCTGAACCAAGTGCTTTACAGCTGGCGACGCCGCGTCACGCAGGTCCCACATCATTGTAGGACATGCAGCGCTGAAGGTTTGCTGTCATCTTCGATGCTAGCTCCTATAGTCCCCTGATCATCGTGCATATCGAGGACCGACAACGGCGAGATATTGTAGTTCTGCACGCAATTTACCGCACGAATAGCATTGGCCTTTTTCAGTTGCTCTTTCGATGCTCCTGTCAACGGCCCGTCGCCTGTTGCCGACTTCTGCCGAATCAACCCAACGAGACAGTGCCCCTGTCTGACGACGACCCTCGATACCAGACAAAAGAGCCCATCACAAAGAATAGCAGCCAAATTCCGCCGAGATATTTCCCCCTTGGTCCTCGGCAGCCTCGTGAAATTATCTGTCTCCATGCGCTAGCCGGCTCTCGCGGGTGGCCATCAGTCCCAAGAGGTACGCCGGCGCGCCATGAGCTCCCTCAAGTTCGTCGTGTCCTCGCTGGACACCATTGCTGCGCATGCCGGCAGGAACAAGCAGCTCGCCGAGTTGGCCGAGAAGGCGCTCACCGTCATCAAAGAAAACGACCAACAGCTGCCCGACCCCGAAATCGTCTTCGCCCCGCTGCAACTCGCTACGAAATCAGGCACCATCCCCCTCGCGACGACCGCCCTCGACTGCATCGGAAAGCTCATCTCGTACTCGTACTTTTCCGCGCCGTCCTCCCCAGCCCCGAGCCAGGATGGGTCCGCCGACCAAGCCCCCCTCATTGAACGGGCCATCGACACCATCTGTGACTGCTTCCAGGGAGAGACAACGCTGGTCGAGATCCAGCTCCAAATCGTCAAGTCGCTGCTCGCCGCAGTGCTGAACGACAAGATCATAGTACACGGCGCGGGCCTGTTGAAGGCGGTGCGACAAGTGTACAATATTTTCCTGCTCTCCCGCAGCACGGCGAATCAACAAGTGGCACAAGGGACGCTGACGCAGATGGTCGGCACCGTCTTCGAGAGGGTCAAGACACGACTGCATATGAAGGAGGCCCGGGCAAATCTGGACAAGCTAAAACCGAGCCGGAGCAACCTGTCTGTCGACCAGCACGACGACCAGGATTCCCAGGCAGGCAAGGCGGAGAGCGACGAGAGCAACGAAGCCGAGGCAGAAGCAACCCCATCCGAACCGGCTGCCGACGCCGGCGTCAAGCTTACGCTGAAGGACTTGGAGCACCGAAAGAGCTTCGACGATTCTCACATGGGTGATGGCCCAACCATGGTGAGTCGGGTAAAGCCAATGAAGAAGGCAGCGAGGTCCGTGTCGGAGCAGAGCCTCGGGGAGGGCGCGCAGGAGGAAACCCCCGAGTCACTGGATGCCGAGGATGAGGCCTATATCCGGGATGCCTATCTCGTTTTCCGCTCATTTTGCAACCTCTCAACAAAAGTTCTGCCGCCAGACCAGCTTTACGACCTTCGAGGCCAAGCCATGCGCTCAAAGCTGATCTCACTACACCTTGTCCACACGCTACTCAACAACCACATCACCGTCTTCACGTCGCCGTTATGTACGATTACGAACACCAAGAACAATGAGCCCACAAACTTTCTTCAAGCTATCAAGTACTATCTTTGTTTGAGCATCACTCGAAACGGCGCTAGTTCGGTAGACAGGGTATTTGACATTTGCTGCGAGATATTCTGGCTCATGCTCAAGTACATGAGGGCGTCTTTCAAGGTTTGTGGAGCATCCAGCGACTCTCACGACCCTGCTGACCGAGCTACAGAAAGAAATCGAGGTCTTTCTGAACGAGATCTACCTCGCGCTCCTCGCTCGGAGGAATGCCCCCTTGTCGCAAAAGCTCACGTTTGTGGGGATCCTCAAAAGGCTATGCGAGGACCCGCGCGCCCTGGTGGAAACATACCTCAACTACGATTGCGACCAGAACGTTGACAACATTTTCCAGAAGATTGTAGAGGATTTGTCCAGATTCGCAACCGCTTCCATACCGGTAACACCTGCCCAAGAACAGCAGTACGAGGATGGCCACTGCAAGTTTGCGATGGGGGGCGAGTGGCAGATCAAAAGCGTGCTGCCGCCGCCGTTGTCGGTTGCTCTGATTGCGACACACCACGAGGCGGATGGCGAGATACCCAAGGAGTATGTCATGAAGCGCGTGGCGATCGACTCGCTTGTGGAGACACTGAGGTCGCTTGTGCACTGGTCGCAGCCTGGGCGGCCCGAGGTCAACGGCACGGGAGGGGAGGTTGAGCGGAGAGCCTCCAGCGACGATTTGCGAGACTCTATCGACCCCACGGCGAGCGAGACCGCGTCGCGGATGGAGACGCCTCTACCCCCGTCCACCCCGGTCATTGATGACGACCCGGACCAGCTGGAGAGGGAAAAGGCGAGGAAGACGGCTCTCACCAATGCGATCAAGGTCTTTAACTTCAAGCCAAAGCACGGCATCAAGCTTCTTGTCAAGGAAGGCTTCATCCCCAGCGACAAGCCGCAGGATATTGCCCGCTTTCTTCTGCGCGAGGAGCGGCTGGACAAGGCTCAGATAGGCGAATTCCTTGGAGAGGGCGACCAGAGGAATATCGACATTATGCACGCCTTCGTGGATTTGATGGATTTCAGCAAGAAGCGCTTCGTGGATGCCCTGCGCGAATTCCTCCAGGCGTTCCGCCTGCCGGGCGAGGCGCAAAAGATTGACCGCTTCATGCTCAAGTTTGCCAACCGCTACGTGACCCTGAACCCCAACGCCTTCGCCAACGCCGACACCCCATATGTACTCGCCTATTCCGTCATCATGCTCAACACGGATCTGCACAGCAGCAAGATCGCGAAGCGGATGACCAAGGCAGACTTCATCAAGAACAACCGGGGCATCAATGACAATGCCGATCTTCCGGATGAGTATCTGATTGGCATCTACGACGACATCGCCAACAACGAAATCGTGCTCAAGAGTGAACGGGAAGCTGCCGCAGCCGCCGGGACGCTCCCTGCGCAGCCGACGGGCCTTGCTGCAGGGCTCGGGCAGGCCTTCTCCAACGTCGGGCGTGATTTGCAACGGGAAGCCTATGTCCAGCAGTCCGAGGAGATCTCTTTGCGGTCAGAACAGCTTTTCCGGGATTTGTATCGAAGCCAGCGGAGGAATGCCACCAAGGCGGGCACCAAGTTCATCCCGGCAACATCGTTCAAGCACGTGGGGCCAATGTTTGACGTGACGTGGATGTCATTCTTTTCGGCCCTGTCGAGTTTGACCCAGAAGACACATAACTTGGAAGTCAACAAGCTGTGCTTGGAGGGCATGAAGCTGGCCACCAAGATCGCCTGTGTCTTCGATCTCGCCACTCCACGAGAGGCATTTATTTCGGCCTTGAAGAACACCGCCAACCTCAACAACCCCCGGGAGATGCAAGCCAAGAATGTCGAGGCGCTAAAGGTGATCCTGGATCTTGCCCAGACGGAGGGCAACCACTTGAAGCAGTCGTGGAAGGATGTGCTACTTTGCATCAGCCAGCTGGACCGACTGCAACTGATCTCCGGCGGCGTGGATGAGAGCGCCGTGCCCGACGTCTCCAAGGCCCGGTTTGTGCCCGCGCCGCAGCGAACAGACACGACCGATTCCCGCAAATCCACATCTTCAGCCCGAAAGAGCCGGCCGCGGGCAGCCACCGGGCCGCAGGGCGTGTCGCTGGAAATCGCACTCGAGAGCAGATCGGACGAGGTGATCAAGAGCGTCGACAGGATATTCACAAACACGGCCAACCTGTCGAGAGACGCAATCATTCACTTCGCCCGGGCGCTGACAGAAGTCAGCTGGGACGAGATCAAAGTCTCGGGTTCGAACGATTCACCCCGCACGTACAGTCTCCAGAAGATTGTCGAGATCAGCTACTACAACATGACGCGTGTTCGGTTCGAGTGGAGCCACATCTGGGACGTGCTCGGAGAGCACTTCAACAGGGTCGGCTGTCACGCCAACACGGCCATCGTCTTCTTTGCGCTCGACTCGCTGCGCCAGCTTTCAATGCGCTTCATGGAGATTGAGGAGCTGGCAGGCTTCAAATTCCAGAAGGACTTCCTTAAGCCGTTTGAGCACGTCATGTCCAACTCGGCCAACGTCACGGTCAAGGACATGATCCTCCGCTGCCTCATCCAGATGATCCAGGCCAGGGGCGAAAACATCCGGTCCGGCTGGAGGACCATGTTCGGCGTTTTTACGGTTGCGGCGAGAGAACCTTACGAGAGCATCGTCAATTTGGCGTACGAGAACGTCACCCAGGTGTACAAGACACGGTTTGGCGTCGTCATTTCGCAGGGCGCCTTTACCGACCTCATTGTCTGTCTCACCGAGTTCTCCAAGAACATGCGGTTCCAAAAGAAGAGCCTGCAGGCCATGGAAACGCTCAAGTCTGTCATCCCCACTATGCTTAAGACCCCGGAGTGTCCACTCTCAAAGTCCGCTGGGAAGCAGGCCGAGCCGCGACCCGGGTCCCCCGTCCGACAGACACGCACATCGGTGGAGGAAGGCTTTTGGTTCCCGGTGCTGTTTGCGTTCCATGATGTCCTCATGACGGGGGAGGATCTCGAAGTGCGCTCCAACGCGCTCAACTACTTTTTTGAGGCTCTCCTGCGGTACGGAGGCGGTTTTCCGTCCGAATTCTGGGATATTCTGTGGAGGCAGCAGCTGTATCCCATCTTCATGGTGCTCCGCTCGAGGCCAGAGATGACCAACGCGCTCAACCACGAGGAGCTTTCGGTTTGGCTGTCCACCACCATGATCCAGGCGCTACGCAACATGATTACGCTCTTTACGCACTACTTTGACGCCCTCGAGTACATGCTTGACAGGTTCCTCGAGCTTCTCGCCTTGTGCATCTGCCAGGAAAACGACACGATTGCCCGGATAGGCAACAACTGCCTGCAGCAGCTCATCCTGCAGAACGTTACAAAGTTCACGCCCGAGCACTGGGCCAAGATTGTGGGCGCGTTCTGTGAGCTTTTCGAGAGGACCACGGCGTACCAGCTGTTTTCCGCCACGACCATCAACTCGACCGCCTCGCTTTCCCCGCCACCCAACGGTTTGGAGCTTGGCGCCGCTCTCAGCCCGACCTCCGAGACCCCACCAGTCGACGAGAAGTCGCTCAAGATCAACGGCACAGATGCTAACGGGCACACGCCAGCAACTGAGTCGCCACGGCCTCAGGCCAACGGCAGCGATGCCGAAAGTCCCAGGGTGCCCGCCAGCGCCAATCCCCCGGCGATGGCAGCAACGCCGCAATCGCAAGCCACACCGCAGCTGGAGGAGTTTAAGCCCAGCAACCCGCTGCAGCAACAACCCGTTGTCGTCACAGCCGCCCGGCGGCGCTTCTTCAACCGCATCATCAGCCGGTGCGTGCTGCAGCTGCTCATGATCGAGACAGTCAACGAACTCTTTAGCAACGACGCCGTCTACGCGCAAATCCCATCCTCAGAACTCCTCCGGCTAATGGCGCTCCTCAAAAAATCCTTCCTCTTCGCCAAGCGCTTCAACGCCGACAAGGACCTTCGCATGCGCCTGTGGCGCGAAGGGTTCATGAAGCAGCCACCCAATCTACTCAAACAAGAATCCGGCAGCGCCGCCACGTACGTGGCCATCCTCTTCCGCATGTTCGGCGACACGTCGCCCGAGCGCCAGGGCAGCAAGGCCGACGTCGAGAGCGCGCTCGTCCCGCTGTGCCAGGATATCATACGGGGATATATCGCGCTCGACGAAGAGAGCCAACACAGGAACATGGTCGCCTGGCGGCCTGTTGTGGTTGATGTCCTGGAGGGGTATGCTGCGTTCCACAGGGAGGCATTTGCCGCGCACATTCCGACGTTTTACCCGCTGGTCACGGAGCTGCTGGGTAAGGATTTGGGTGTGGAGCTCAGGACGGCGCTGTTGCTGGTTCTGAGGCGGGTTGGGGAGGTCGGGCTTGGCATCGAGAGCATGGCCGGTGGGAGCAATGGGAGGAGGGAGAGTATGCTCTCCGCTGCGGATCCTGGGGGCGCTGGGCCACGTCCGTCAAGAAGCATGGATAGCTTGAGTGGGGATCCTTCGAGCCGGGTCATGGGCAAGGCTTAGGGGGTGGGGTTCAAAACTTTTTGGTTACTTTTTGATAGATACGGGTCCACGGTGTGGCTAGAGGCAAGGGTCAATTGCGAAGCGTATGTGTACTACTATTATTACTTTCTGTTTGCTATATTGTTTTCATGGCGGAGTTTGCATCTGCCCGTGCTTTGACCCGGCCAGAGCCGGGGAATTCAAGTTGCTTTTTGTCTTTTCCCCGACGCTTGACACTCAGCGCAGTACGCGGTGCTGCATTTTGGTGGTCCCGGGAATCCAGATGGCAATGTCGCTGTACCTTTGTTGTCCGCAACGCTACCCTAGGCTTCACCGCTGACGTGCCATGACTGACGGCACGTGCCACTTCGTCCGGCTGCCGCGGGAGAAGGTAGGAGTGTGAGTAGGACCGGTTACAACTGCACGCGCTGCCAGGTAGGGATCAAGCTAAGTGGGAAGCCATATCAACCATACGGTATAGTCGGAGCATCCTTCATCACACATCCCCACCCACACCCTCTCACCGCATAGCCAACCGAACCGCCTCCCCGGGCATGACCTCGCTCAACCACGCCCTCAACCCGTCCGCCTCCTCCTCCACCGCCCGATCGGGCAGACTCAGCAGGGCATCCCTGAGCACCTCGTCCCCGGCCGTCGCCTTGCTCAGCAATCCCCTTATCGTCTCGAGCTTCAGCGCGGTGTGTTCCGTCACCCGCATGAGCCCGACAAATGTCTCGAAAAAGTCAACCAGGCTAAGGTGCATCAGCAGATCTTCCCGCTGCACCATGCGCAGAGCGGCGAATTGTAGCAGGCCCTCGCCCGGTCGCGGGTGCGGGTCGGGGCCGGAAGGAACTGAGTCGCTGTTGTCTTGATCTTGGCTGTGGCCGTTTGTCAGATGCACAACCATGGGCGCGGTGATCTGCGACTGGCTGACGGCGCGAAAGTCAAGTGCGGCAAGCCGCGGCAGGATCCGGAGCAGCCGGCCCTGGGCGAGCGACAGTTGATGCGCGTTGCCGGCCGTGTCGGGGTGGCGGCCCGCGCAGAGGTCGAGCAGCAGGCGGTACATGGCTGGTTCGTTAAACAGCAGGTGCCAGAGCTTGCCGTGGCCGGGGGTTTTGCGCAGCACGAGGTCAGTGTCGCCACCTGGTCCTGAGGCTGGTGGTAGTGGCGGGGGCAGTTCGCAGTCAATGTCGAGCAGGTCGCCAAGGACTTTGCCGCCTTTCTGGCCCACCTCGACTTGCGGTGCGGCGAGCCACCGGCGGATGAATGCGCCTATTAGAGGCATCATGAGAGAGAGGATGGCGACGTCGGCGGGGTTGGCTGCCGCTTTGTGCAGGACGGTCATGGCGAGGAGGTTGGCGGCTGGCGCGGGGGAGTCGAGGGCTTGGATGAGGGAATCTTGCGAGGCGAGCTGGAGGACCTGGGTGAATGAGACCGGGCCGAGGAGCTTGATGGTTAAGCTGGCGAGGATGGCGGGGTCCTGCGCGTATTGCTTGAGGATGATGGTGAGTCTTGGGAGGAATCGGGGTATCAATGGCGGGATGTTGCTTTCTGTGTGGGGGTTAGTCTGATGCTGCGGGAAGGTACTGGTGAGCGCCTTACCTGTCAGTTGAAGCTCTACATCGTCAAAGAGTTTTGGGATCAGTGGCAGGGTGGGATCCTGGACGAGGTCATCAAGGTGTTTGTCCAACTCGTCCAGGCCCGTGATTGGCGCCGTGTCCATGCTGCTGGTTGAGGGAAAGTCCGAAAGAGAGCAGAAAAGAAGCAGTCAGATGGATGAGATTGGGTTCGAGAGGATGTGATTTAGATGAGCGAAGATGAGTTAGGTAGCCAGCAGTCAGCGTCACTAGTCGAAGCAGTTGTGAAGGTATGCGCAGACGAGGTCAAGGTGGGGCTGGCAGTGTAGGCAGTGAACGAGGGGCGTGTCGGCGGGGTCAGCGGCGGAGGCAGTACGAGGGTTAGGGTCATGCCAGGTGAGGTTAGGCCGTTACACTCGACTGCCACTCCGTCGGGAGACAACACGCAGCAAAGTGACCAATACCTTACCAAGGCGCAAGTGAACTGGTTTTCATTCCTAGCTCATATATCGGACCAAGCCAAAGTTGGGACATTGGGGTCACCTTTCACTGCTCTCAGGTGCCAGTTCGACAGCTTCCCCCTGGATGGTGTCCTTTCCCGCCTTCAGCGAGCACACGACTCTGCCCCCAACGATGCCAACACCATCGCAGTCCAACTGAAGGTCGCCAGTCCCGATTATGTGAAGCGGTCTGTGTATCCAGTTCGTGAGCTCCTCTGCCCTGTCAGAGTCTAACCTAAACTTACGTTTCCCTCCCAGGACACTCCACCACCTCGTCAAGCAAAAACGTCAGCGATCCCGCCCGAACTGCCACATGGACGGTCAAGTTCTTGTCACTCGGCGTGCCGGAAATGATGCAGCGGTAGTTGACTTGAAGATTGCAGCTCAGCTCGTCGCTTGTGCCGGTGAGGTTGTTGGTCAGCGTGAAGGATGCCGACCCGCCCGCGCCGACAGTATCGGTGCTATTGCTCTTGAAGTCCGAGACGGTCCAGCTTGGGAGTGTCGTGCAACTGTCTACCGCCATCGCTGGCGAGGCGACGGCCCCGAGGAGGCTTGACAGGACGAGTAAGGGGAGCATGATGCGCCAGTTTGACTTGCTTTCAATGCTGCGGTTGAAACATCCAGGCTTCAAACCGCCGTTGAGGAGCATCCAAGGTAGATATCGGCATTCACCTGTTAAATCGCCATGAGATGCTCTCAAGATAACCCAAATTGCCGGCCCATGGTTAATCTATCTCGCAATATGACGGGAACGAACCGAGCCCGCCCCATCCAAGAGTCACCAATTAGGCCGGTTCACATTTAAAGTGCATGCACGAAGCTGGAACGGGCGACGCGGTTGATTCCACTGTCTGCTGGACGACTTCGACCTACTGCTGTGTTGAGCTTGTAAGTGATCGGCGGCGAAGTGTGGAAAGCCCAGAGACGCGCAATAACTGGATACAGCCCATTGTCGAAGTTGTAGTCGCCAATATAGCCGTCACAGTAAGGTAGCATAAACTAGCATACGCGACGCCCTAGCATTGTCGGCAAGTGATGTGCTGCTCTCTGCTCTTGTCCGACATTTGGATGATTGGAAATTTGGAATCATCATGCACGATCCGCATCCTATGCAGCAAGGTAGTTTCAAGGGGAGTATACACAAAGTAGACCACGGACTTGACAGGCAGAGGGAAGGATCGTTACCTGGAGCTCGGTAGAGATATATGCCGAGTTGCGTCTTGAAACTCTTCACTCCAACTCCCAGAGAATCCAGGTGGGGCACGAAGGGTCAATTATAAGGTCACGTGAATCAAGAATCACATGCTTAGCCCCGATACAGGCAATTTTCGAATTTCGATGTTATCGACCCCACTAGAAACACCACACTACCTAAGCCAAAAACGTCCATCAGGGACGAGATTTCGGCGCGAATCAAACAACCCGCGCTCCCCATGAGGTGACAACCCTGTATCGCTAGCAACCCAAATCAACCATGTCTGGCCGCGGAGGACGGGGCGGGCGGGGAGGCCGCGGGCGGGGGCGCGGCGGCGCGACAACAAACGGGAGGCGAAGCGTAGCCCAGAACAGCGTTCCCTGGACAATGGACTCGGACATTGTCCTCGACGGCAAGCCCTCTGAGCTCTTCCCAGTAAGCCTCTCATTACCCAGACTTTTGCCATCCCTTTAACTAACCCCCTCCCGCAAGCCCTACAACGTCCCTCAACCCCCGACCCTCTCCAAAAAAGAAGAAAAGCAAGTCTCCTACTTCCTCCTCTTCCGCGAACAATGCCACGACAGCCCGCTCTACACGCAAGCCCGCACCTGGACGCAAACCGCCACTTCCACTTCCAACTCGGGCCGCACGTACGGCCAGGACCAGCTCAACAAGCGCTACGGCCAGACCACCAAGGCCACCATCGACCCGTTCACCGCGGTGCCTACCTACTCGCACCGGTTCCAGATCGTGCCTCGCACCCTGCCGGACTTAGCCTCACGGCCGTTTGCGAAAGAGTTCTTCCCGCCCGAACTCCACCCGACGCTGGACGGCGAGGACGAGCCGAGTACCGGGCAGGCTAATAAAAGGCGGAAGATGGGGCCCAAAACACTGGGGCTGTCCAATATCACCTCGTACAAGACGGCCGAGGAACTGTTCCTGCCTGATGGGCTGCAACGGTCGGATGTCGCCGACGGTGGTGGTGGGGCCGCGAATCTGGATAAGGCGCTGCAGCTGCTTAGTTCGGTGGAGAAGGGCGGCGAGGGTGACGATGATGCGCTGCTGTCTGGGGAGGACGAGGATGATTGGGATGTGGAGAATGAGGATGGGAATGTGGAGGAGGATGATTTGTATGAGGACGAGTCCGGGGATGATTACAATGCGGAGGCGTACTTTGATGGGAACCAGGATGATGATGATTATGATGAAGGGGGGGATGATGGGGGGGATTACTTCTAGGTTGATGTTAATATGGGTTGCATTTCCGGCGCAAAGGCGGGTTACGGTTAGATGTGACGGTTAAGGACAGCGCAAGTCTGAGATACCACTACCACGGATTTGACCGGGCATAGCGTTATGCGAATGAATATTACATGCTACCCATGGTGTTGCCGGGTACTCCTAGGTTCACGGCTCGCAATGCTGGGTACTGTAAAGTTAACCGCTGTGGCTCATAAAGTCCCTGAGCTGGAGGCCCGTAACCCCCTCCTTGACACCACCCACGGCACCAGCAACCTTGAGGATGCTCTCCTCAAAATCCCGCAGCACCGTCGCCAGCTCGATGATACGCTCATCCGCGCCGCCCTGGGTGGCCACCTTGGACTGGGCCGCTGCCCGCTGCAGCTGCTCGAGCATGTTGCTCTGGACGCCGTGCAGGTGCACCTCGATCTCCCCCAGATTCTTCTCAAACTTCCGCATCATCTCGTCCATCTCATCCGCCGTCTTGGAAAAGAAGGAGATCAAATCCGTGTTGCTCTGGGCTTCCTCGGCGGACCCCGCCGCAGCAGACGCGGCCTGCCCACCCCTGGTCGACCACAGCCCGGCCTGGTGGTACTGCACGGGCAGCTTGAGGTTGTCGATGGCCTTGAACGACAGGCGCGCGTTGTCGGCGTCCGTCTTGACCAGCTCGCGCAGCTGGTTGATGGCCACGACGTCGCTCGACAGGGCGTTGTGCGCGCCCTCAGATTTGCGGCTCACGAAGCTGACGTCAGATGGAATGGCCGAGAGCTGCTCGGCGTGCTTTGGGAGGAAGGCGTCGACGGCGTCCCGGTCCTGGATGCACTTTTGGATGGCCTCGTCGATCATGGCAATCTCTTGCTGCAATGTCTCCTGCAGGTCGTTAAACCGCGTTGTAGACCGGATGTTGCTCAGATCGATGCGCACGCCGGGAACGACCTGCTGCTGCTGGTTGACTGATTGGCCCATGGTCAACCCGGACGTTTGGCTCTGCTGCTGAGATTGGCCGCTGGGAGAGGTTAGTAGTTGGTCGCACGGGCAGAAGGCGATTGAGAAACGTACAACAAGCCACCTGTCTGGGGTTTTGCAGTCTGGCCAAAGAGGCCGCCGCCGGCTGTCGTTGCCGGTTTACCAAACATGCCGCCGGTATTTGCTGTCGAGCCGCCGAAAAGCCCTCCGGTCGGTTGTTGTTGTTGCTGCGCGGTCGAGGCGCCAAACAGCCCCCCACCCTGTGCCGGCTGTGTCTGGGTCGTTGTCCCAAATAAGCCCCCAGACTGCGTCGGTTGTGTTGCTGTGCTGCCCCCAAACAGCCCTCCTCCCGTCGCTTGCGGTGCTTGTTGTTGTTGCCCCGTCGTCGACGAACCAAAGAGTCCGCCCGTCTGCTGAGGTTGGCTCGTCGAGGCTTGACCAAACAGGCCACCGGTTTGTTGTGGTTGCGACGCGGGTGTTTGTGTGGTTGCCGAGCCGAACAGGCCGCCGCTCTGCTGGGGCTGCGAGGATGCCGTGCCGAACAAACCCGATTGCGCCGGCTGGGAGGTTGCAGCAGTACCGAAGAGTCCCCCACCGGCCGGCGGTTGGCTCGTACTGGAACCACTGTGCGAGACAAATCAGTCGGACTTCGAAGCTGCGAGTCTCCGCGCGACACCAGATGATCACTCACAAGAGATTCGCGGAGCCTGTGTTGATGCTGAGCCCGCCGGGGCCACTAGCCGACCGTGCGAGAGACATGGTTTGAGCACTCTAGGGCTAGGGAGAGCAGGATTCAGCGACTGGAATGTAAATTGCGGAGGGCGCCGTGGTTGTTGCAGCGCGCGACTTGGCGATTAAAGATGTTTTGGATTGCAACCTCGATTGTTTTCTGCCCCACGAGCACATGCAGCTCAGACCCCCTGCAGCGCGCTAAGCACCTACCCACCCCACTTTGCTTTGAGCCAAGGCGCTAGGTAATTGGTTCGTGTGGAGCTGACCGCCTGCCAAGTTGGCTCTGCAACGTGAAGCTGCCACTTCCTTGAATCCTTTGTGGCACACTTCGAAGCTTCACCTTCCTGGACTCTACCAACGACTGCTCGACTGAAACTTTAAGTTTGGCACGTACAACGCCGCCATGGATATTGACGATGACGAGGATTTCTACGCGCCGGAAGAGCCCGAAGCCCCGGCTGCGCAACCAGCACAACCAGCACAAACCGCGCCGCCCGCCGCTGCAACAAAGAGCGAAGCAAACGAGGAGCTAGAAGAAGGCGAGGAGGAGGACGAGGGCGGGGAGATGGACGAAGATGATGATTCGGTATATTTCCCACGAAATTCCTTTCCCAGTCTCCATTGGTCTGACAACGCCAGGATATCGACATCATCACCGAGAGAAAGGACGGCTCAAAGCCCCCTCCTTCAATGTGAGCCCTGCTAGATGGCAGTCGCTGTGATCAGCCCGCTGACCGTTTCCTGCAAAAGACAACCGCGATACAGCGAGATCAGAAACATTCCTCAGCGCTCTACCACAAACGAGACGGCCGTCAAACCAGCCCCGATCAAACGTGAAGAGCCGCGGCAAGAGTACCCGCCCGTATCAAACTCCACAGTCGACGTCAACGCCATCCCCGTCCACAAGCCCAGCGGCAAGCCCATCACCCAAGTTGACATTGACAAGGGCAAGTTATCTCTTGGCTCCATCAGTTCTTCTCTTCGCTCTCATACACACGAACTAACCTCCCTTCCAGACCTACCAGACAATGACAAACCCTGGCGCAAACCCGGCACCGACCTGTCCGACTACTTCAACTACGGCTTCGACGAATTCACTTGGGCACTCTACGCCCAGAAGCAGGAGGCTTTACGGGCGGAATACGACCAGGAAGCCATCGCCCAGAACAACAAGAGGCTGATGGAGGAGATGTCCAACATGATGATGATGGGCGGCATGATGCCCCCGCCGGGGGCTCCGACGCCAGCCGGTGCTGCTGCCGGTGGCGCCGCTGCCTCGGCTGTTCCCGCGGCCGCCGCCGGTGCCCCGCCCGTCGCGGCCTTCCCCGGCATGGAGGGCTTGCCGCCTGAAATGCAGGCTATGCTGCAGCAGATGATTGCCAATGGCACGGATCCGGCCCAGATGGATATGGCGGCTATGGCGGCTATGTATGGCGGAATGCAGAACGCGGGTGCCGGCGCGGCGGGGGCACAAGCTGGGCAGGGCCAGGGGTTTGCGGGCGGGTTTAGTGGGAATCAGGGACAGGGGTATGGTGGGTATGAGCAGCAGATGGGAGGGGGCGGGAGAGGGGGCAGAGGAAGGGGACGAAGGTGGTGATGTCGCAGGGATAATAACAAGGATGGTAGGGATGGCAGAGACGAGAACAGAAGGTGGGAACGGCATTATCGAATCCAGTTCGATTAGATACCCTTTATCAGACACACTCTGTAGGAACTATGTCTCGTGCGAAGAGAACGCGGCTACAGGCAGGCTCTGCGCAGCCCGTATCTCCTGCATCAGCGCGGTCCGACTGGCCGTGTCGTGCTCCTTCAACTCTGCACCAGCCTTGAGAAGTGCTCTAAGCGCGGGCACATTACACGCCTGCACGGCCGCCATCAGCGGCGTACTTCCAAAGCAATCCCTCGCATCAATCTGCGCACCATGAGCAATCAGCTTCTCGATCGTCCGCATCCGGGCAATCCCAAACTCCTCCTCGCTCAGCACCGCCCTCTTGCGCGGTCTGGCCCCCGCCACGGGCTGAGCCGAGCGCATACAACACATATGCAGTGGCGTAAGACACCCCCCGTTCGTGAGCGCAATAAACCCGCGCTTGACGTCCCCGCCGAGATCGATCAGCCGATCAGCCTCCTCAAAATCCCCCAGCCGGCAGGCCTCGCCTAACGGGGTGATGGCCGTGTAGGGAATGTACATTTTGATCTCGCACTCCACATTCGCGCCCAGCTCGAGCAGTAAGGGGACAGTCGACTCCCAGTGGCGGTTGGCGTAGGCATAGTAAAACGGCGTCGTGGTCCACTCGTCCTGGGCGTCGATCTCGGTTTGGATTTTGTTGTCAACCAGATATCGCACTACGTCGGTTAAGCCCATGCCGGCCGCGTAGTGTAGCGCCGTCAGCCCCCGGCCGTGTTCCCGTTCCAAACTGGAACTGAAGACGGACTCGGGCACCATCATGTACGACGCTCCGCGCGAGAGTAAGAGTTTGGCGGTTTCAGGGCGGGCGTGACACAGCGCGTGGTGCAGGGGCGACCATTTCAGCGGGGGGAGGTCTTCAGGCTGTTCGGTGGCGTTGAGCAGGCCGTAGAGGGGGACGCAGTCGCACAGGTTTTGTGACGGCACGTCGAGCGACGCGCCGTAGTCGGCCAGCAGCGAGACGATGGCGTCGTGTCCGTCTCGTGCCGCGAGGTGCATTGCCCGGTACCGTCGGAGGATCATACGGGGTTTGGGCTGGCTGGGCTCGGCTTCTTCTGAGAACATGTCGTAGTCCCCGTCGGAGCTGCTCAGGGGATGATGAGCGGAGGAGTAGTCCGACGTGGAAATGGTCAGCGATTGCGCGGTATGGGGACTGCTCGCGTGGTCGATGTCGCTCCTGTCGGCTTCCGAAGACCACTTGACGTCGGACGCGGAATCGGTCCATCCGCGATCAGTATCCACGTCCCACATGTGGTCGTCGGGGGCGTCCTTGAAATTGTTGACGGCGCCATCACCAGTCGGCGTCGCGGTGCCGGGATTTGCACCATCCCGGGCCGCGGCGGTTTCCTTCTCCCACGTCTCCCGGGGCAGGGCGTCGAGGAATTCGTGGTCGGGGTCGGCGCCCGCAGCAAGCGCCATGCGCAGCGTGCCAACCAGGTTGCGGGTCGCGGCCCAGGCCAGCGGGCGCGCATCGCCGTGGCGGGCCGCGTACCTGTAGAGGAGTGGGTTCGAGGCGCTGTAAATTCGGCGATTCGTCCGCGTTAGTGCAGATATGTCCCGCACGCTGTCGAGGTTTTCGATGACAAAGACCAGCAGCTCGAGTGGCAGGGCGCCGATTCCACGCGGGGCCATGGCGGCCGTAATACTACCTGCTGATTATGCGATAGGTCCTGTCCTGTTGTCAAGCAACATGGATCGTGGTCTAGTGTCTGCGCTAGGCAAAACAGTGTGCTGTGCGCGATGTCGCAAATCTCAGGTCGAGTGTTTTCTCTGGATGATGCACGTCAGTTTGCTCTACGAGATTACTATTCCAATCTGCGGAACAACTTCTTTCCCGCGCGCTTTGATCCCGTTTGTAATGGTGTTATGCTTTTTATACGACCCAGTTTATCCTAGCGATGCGCTGCACCCCAGTTCCCCGGGTCCGTCAATCTGGGGCAGAAGGCGCGTCATCCCAATTTCTTTTTCGGGCCGATTCTTCAGACTCAACTCGAGGACTTTCATCAAGACGATTTCGGGATCGAATTGTTCATTGTTTCTGCTGACGAGCTCTGATGCTACTAGTTCCCTAATTTCATCTCCACGCTGCCTGCCTCATGTTCCTGGGTATCCGCATACAAGATCAACAAAACCGTGACCGACACCGCTATCTCCATTCGCCGGCCGGCCAACACAAACCCATCATCAAAAGTCATAACCGATCACCACCATCAAGGCACCCGTTGATGCTACTCAACCAGTGTCCCAATATGCCCAACCCTTCCTGCTCTCGTTCCCACACCCTTCGCCGGCCGTATGTAATTCGCAATCCTCTGCGTGAGACTAGCCTGCCTGCGCAGCATTCTCTGCGGTTGCGGCTGCCCGTCAACCCCATACCCAGCCTGAGCCTGACTTGGAGAAGGCCCGGGCTGACGGGGAACCGTGACCCGCTCTTCGGTCCGCACCAGCACCTTCTCTGCCTCGCTGCCGCCCGTCGTGTAGCTCGGCGCCCAGCTCGCGCGCTGCACATGGCCCTTGCGGAACGCCGGTCGCTGCTCGTCATTTCCCCTGCTGCTGCTGAGCATGTACCTGTTGCCGGTGCTGCCTTTGCTTCGGCTGTTGCCGGTGCTGTTGTTTCGCTGGTGGTGGTGGTGTGAGCTGCCCGGGCCGACCGTATCCGATGGGATCGACGTTGACGTGTAGTACTGCTTGTGCGGGTCCGGTTTGACGTGGTTGGGTTTGGGGCTTAGGGCTGCGGCGGCGGCGGAGTGTTGTGAGATGCTGCGCAGGATTTGCTCGCGGCGCGCGCGTTCCTCAGCTTCGGCGCGGGCGATAAAGAGTTCATAATCGGTCAACGGTGCTGTTGGTTGTTGCTGAGCGGATTCGTCTTCCCTCCCGGCCGATATTTCCCCTGACACTCGCAAATCCCATGCGACTGGTGTGCTGTTGACTGGTGCGAGCACGGCCTCTTGCGAGGCTTGGAAAGGGTCTTCAACCAGCGTGCGCGGGTTTAGCTTCATTCCGACGCGCGAGCTTCTCCTTGTCGGTTCCTCCCGCCGTAAGCCTTGCCCTGACCCCTGCTGGCTGCCATTCTGGGAGTTGCGGCGCACTCCATTCTCGCCCGAAGACCGCACTGGGCGGGCGGACTGGCTTGGCTCCTCTGTTTGCTGCCGTGTCGCGCTCTTTGGCGAGATGGCTAGCCGCGAGAAGTCGGATGCTGCATGCGTGGGCTCGTAAACGAATTTTGGCCTTGGCACTTCCGGGATCGTCTCCGGGTTCTGGATGGGTTTTGGCCAGACCTTTAAACGATCTCGAAAACTGGCCTTTTTCTTGAGCTGAGGTTGCTGCGCTGTGCTCTGCGTCTCAACCATTGCTTCTCCTGCTAATCCTCTGGATCCTTTGCGGGTGTGGTGCGCCTGGTTCTGCGTGGTGGTAGCTGCAGTGGGCTCAAGCGGATGCTGTGTTGCTCCACAAGCTGAGATGCGTCTCTCTGTAGGATGACGTGATGGCTCCTTGGTCTCGGCAGTGCCGTTTGCGATGGTACGCTCGAACCGTGCGCTCTCCTTTGCGCTCGTTGTGCGTCGTAGTAGACGACCTACGAGGCCTGCGCTGTCGCGGTGGTGTGGGAGCGGGCTACTAATAGCAGCCGTGCTGCCGGCCATTCTGTGAATTTCCGGCAGAAACAGGGCCGGCCAGGGGTTGACTGGTGTTCCCGTTTGATGAGGTTGCGTCGTCCGGGGATAGTGGAGTGCCGGCTAATTAGCGCCTGGGGTTGCGCCCTGGATCGGCGAGTTTCCCTGTCAAAAAGCGACCCTGAAACCTTGTTTCCTCTGCATCAGCCGTCTTGGCCGCTTGCGTCCCTGTTGCTTGCGGTGGAAAAGCGTTGTCGACTGGAACCATGTGCCCTTGTTTCGGTCTCGACCTGCCAAGCGGCGGCCCGGATTATGTAGTCGAGTCTAGTGTAAACCCGAGCCAGCAGGCATGACCCCAATGAAGGGTGGAGTGATGGATGGGTTACCCGGCGGTATCCGGATTTCGCTCACATTCCCCGGAGCTATCCGAGATTCGTGGGTGAACAGTCCGGGGCCTTGATATTTACACCGTTGGTCATGCCTCCCCTCCAAAGGGCGAGTTCAACTCTTAAAAAGGGCGAGTTCTGCAATCCGAGTTCTGTAGGATCCGCATGTCATCCGGATCTGGGTCGGCGCTGCAAGGCAGGCTCGCCGGGGCGAGCTGATTTCGTTTTCCGTCGACGAATGAGGGGCCAGAATCGGCCTCGGACAGGTGCAGGGGCGAGGATGCAGCAGGCCTAGAGGCGCAACCCGGCATTCGACAGGCTTTGGCCGACAGCGGACTGCAGGCCGAGAGATTGAGCATCAAGGGCACTTTCTAGCGTGCGCCAACGCGTTTTGAGCATGTTAGCGTGCCCAACGAGGAAAGCTCACCAAGGCTGAGGTCGCAAATATGGTTAACGCTGCGAAGCCCAGATGTTCGTATCGTTTTAGTTGACCGCGTGCCGTTCGGTCCAGAAGTCTTGCTTGGCCCGAAGGCGATGCCGCCCTGGTTTCGACCGGACATTTCAGTTTAGCAGGATCAAAAGAAAACCTACTCAAGAGACTATCGGTGGGAGAAAACGCGATATCATCTCAACCGGGCAGGCACAACTGAGATGCGTGCCAGATGCCGGCAGTCAATTCAAGGGTTTGGTTGGCGGGTCTCATTGAGGCCGCCGGGGTTGGAAGACCGCGTACTGCACTGTCCGATATGCGCACGGCCCGGATTCAGAGTCGGAACTTGAGACTACACCCTTGAATATGGGCTTTCTCACGGCACCAGCTATCCACGACGTGGCCGCTCTCAATAAACATTCCACCGGCGGCTCTGGAGGTCAGTCATAATATTTCGGCCAAATACTTCAGCTTGGAACTCGGGCCACCAAAAGCTGAGGGTAACGAGCACATCGCCCGCCAAGAAGGGTTCGGGTCCTCAACATGCCCGGCATTTCTCACACAGTGCGATTTATGGTCATCACGCATCGCAGTATCTCGATTTTCAGCGACTCCGAGTCGTGAACGCGCAGCCACGCCTCGCCAGTGTAATTTATTCTTGCTCTCCTTCCAGTGTTGCCATCTCGACCGTGTATGTGGAAGATTGCATCAAACTTTGGATTCCGCTAACCCAAACAATCGGGACGGTCCGCCCTCCGTAGGGCTTGTTGGGTGGGAAGGGGGAACCTTGGGAAAGCCAGTAAGGAATTTATTGGGGCACTGGGGCTTGGCTCGTCAACTCTCCCTCATCCTCCAACAACCCTCCAGCTCTCTACAATGAATACCAATCTTTACCCACGCTTTTCAGGCTGGAGCTGAACTGGCAACATGTTCACTGAACTGGCGGGACCGGCCTTGGCTCTTGTCAGCAAAAGAAAGTCCGAACCTCTAGGGAATTCCGCAGTTCTCTTCGAAGTTCGAAGTGCATTCATCTTTAACTCAACTTACCCATGAGCGCGTCTCTCTCTGCTTTGATAGCAGCGAGCTCGCTTCGCAGCTTGGAAAGCTCGGTTTCCTTTTCCTCCAAGAATAATTCGAGCCTCTGCTCCACGTCGGCTGACTTCTTGTCGAGCTCTTCTAGTTTCTGCATTCATATTGCCTTGTCAAACTCAGGTTGAAGAGAACGAGGAACTTTTTCCCGAGAGAATAGTTACCTGCTCGATCAGGATGTAGGATAACAGCTGCTCACTAAGCACAGCCGCATTGTCTGCCACCTTGTCGACTGATTCGAGGAAGATTTCGATGACTGACAGCTGAAGCGGACTGAGTTTGTCCCCAATCATCTCTCGGAGATTCCACAACTGCGTACACGTATCGTTCAACCGCTGCATTCTGTATTTCTCTCTGTTGTTATTGTTGTTGTTGTTACGGCTTCTGTTTTTCCTGTTGTATTTGCGCGAAGGATGATGGTGTGAGCGGTGTGGAATTCGAGTCTTATACTGGCGAGTTGGAGGTCAATTCCTACCTGCAAACTACGTGTGGCTTACGGTGAGCTTTTCATCCCATATTTGTGCTTCATGTTGTTGTTTCCATTAATCATCACAACGGATTAGCACACCCAGCACCAGACACCACAATCTCTTGAGCTAGGCGCTTCTGCTTGACTTGGGCTTCCAACTGGGTCATGGGTAGAGAAACGCTGATACTGATAATCAGCCCTTATATCGTCGAATCCCCTGTCGATTCATGGCTTTGGCTTCCATTAATGCCGTGATGCAGACCTACTCGATCATTGGGTCCATGGGAGGATCGCTGCGAGATTCCGACTCGGAATAGGCGACTCGGGAGTTACTGATGTATCGTACGGCGTTTATTCTCTACGGCATCGCTGTAGGTAAGGTACCTATCCCACGACCGGCCCGTCATGAACATTCCCCCCTCGCCTTCAACCATTAGCTAACTCGGCCCATGGTACGCGCGCTGATCCAAGACGACCTTAATCCACCCATTCATAAATATGCTTTTCGACAGCTTCGGTTTTTGCCAGGTGTCTCTCGATCTTAGCCCATGCAACTTCCATCTCAGCATGAGCCTTAGTACCTCGTCCCTCGATTTCAGGAAAGCGTCTCTCTCTGCTTTAACAGCGGCAAGCTCGCTCCGCAGCTTTTCCAGCTCGATTACCACGTCCCGGAGCCTCTGCTCTGCTAACGCAGTGCTCGATTTCCGAGACTGTGAGCTTCTGCTCAGCCTCGGTGTGCTTCTTGATCGACTCTTCTAGTTTCTGTTCCATATTGCCCGGCCTTGTTAGAACTCGGAAGAGAAGAAGCGCGTGCCGCCAGAGGTAGTGCGTATTTACCTGCGGGAGTGAGATGTGGAGCGCCAACTGCGCACTCAGATTCGTCGCACTTTCCACCACTTCCTCGGCTAAGAGGAGAAAGGTCTCAGCACCCGGTACCTTTAGCGGACGGATCACGGCCCTCATCGTGTCGAGGATACCTCTCAGCCTTGAAACCGCATTGGATAGACGCTCCATTTGCCGCGTACGCTGGAAACTGAGATGTGTGATGAGGGTAGTGTTTTGGCTGAGTTTTGATTTGTGGTGTTTGGCAGAGGTATGGCTGAGAGCGGCTTTGCAAAAGTGTGCTTCAATGTATTGAGTGAAGAGGTGAAAGGAGGCTCAAGCCATCGAAAGAAATGTGTGAGCTGGGATGGACGGGTGTTTTTATACTGGGGAGCAGGTGGTCAATGCCTGTGTGCAAATGATCAATGCCCGCCTGCAAACTGTACACATCGCGGGAGTCTTTCATCCCATGGTTTTTCTTCCCGTTGTTGTGGCTCTGATCATTAACAACGCATTCGCCAAATCCAACACCAGCCACCACAGTCTCGTCCGCTAGGTGCGTCTGCTTGACTTGGTTTCCATCCAGCAAGGGGCGCCGGCCCTCACTGGCCAAGTTGGCAACATGAACTTCGCCGAGGATGCCATCAACACGCTCCAGCGAGTGGCTACAAATTCGGCGGACGATGCCAACGGCCTTGAACTGGGAGAACCAACACGGACACGGTCGACAGACCCGTCCATTTCCACCTTCGAAAGGCATAGTAAGTCCTGGGTAGGAAGAAGCTGATAACCAGCTCATAGACTCTCCAAGCTAATATCGATTCCCAGAATTGGCTAGATGCTCTGAAGGACCTACTGGATTATCGGGTCCATGAGAGCATCGCTGCGAGTGCTGATAGAGTTTTCATGCTTGAGAACGATGATCAATCTGCCCGATGATCGCAGAGCAACGCAGCGGCTGTTTCCGTACAACAAATCGATCCAGGGGTCCGGTTGGTCAGACATCGCGGACGCCTCCGGGGAGCTACGGCTAAGGCATCCAGACGCCTGTGGCGCTGACCAAGGCGCACTTGAGCGGTGAGAAAACAGCAGGCTTACTTGCATGCGAACCATCGCCTACCAACATGGATGGATAACGCCCGCAGGCCACATTTAAGATATAAAACAGGTTGATAAGCAGGGCAGGTAAGCAGCAGTTTCCCTGAAACAATATCACACAGCTGATCTCTCCCTCGTTTCCGAATCCCAACCCAGAACTCTTCTCATCTGCCTTGTTAGGGTATCTACGGAAACATGGGGTCCACTACCGAGCTTCACTACATCCCTCGCACCACGGAAACACTGCTCGACGTCGCCAGCGACGTCGTTCAACTCCTCCGCGCGGCGGGTGAAACTCTCGGTGTAGCCGAGTCGCTGACTGCCGGCGGCGTCATGGCGGCAATCACCTCCGTGCCCGGCGCCAGTGCCGCGTTCCGCGGCGGCGTCGTCTCATACGCGACACCACTCAAACAAGAGTTGCTGGGGGTCAGCGCGGACCTGATTGCCCGCGAGGGTGTTATTCACGGTGACGTTGCCGCGCAAATGGCCGAGGGCGCTCGCCGAGTCACGACCTACGGCGGCGCCGCCACAACTACCTGGGGCATCGGCACCACTGGTGTGGCCGGCCCGGACTTGCAAGATGGAAAGCCTGCTGGGACCGTGTTTATCGGTATTTCGTCGCCTGAGAGAAGTCGTGCGTTTGGTCCGTTTAGTTTCCCGGGCTCGCGAGAGCGCGTGCGGGAGGCAACTGTGCTTGAGGCGCTGGCCCGCTTGAGGCAAGAGTTGGTCGAAAGGGCTCAAAAGGAGGACCGCAAGACTGTATAGTTGCCCAAGATCAGGTCGTGTACTTGAGCTATGGAGGCTCAGGGTTTTCGTATTGGAAACAAGGGGTCACTTAATACGCGGAGCTGAGAAAGGACCTGGCTAGCAGATGTCATGTTGGCAGTTCAGGGGGAAATCGTATGACAGAATACAGATATCAGGCTTGAGTGCCTTGAGCAGGTTTCTCAGGATCGTGCCCGTGAATTACGTTTTCCATTTAATCTACAGACTCCCGTAGAGTGTCTGGCATTGCGGATCAAGACTGAATCTTCCTGCCTCGACTGCGTACATTCCCTCAATTAATCATGAACCCTCCAGCAATTACAACAACAACCTCCTGGAAGCGATCCTCAACTTCCCCCCGGGCCCCACCATCCCAAGACCCCTCAGTCAAAATGGCCAGCACTCTCGCCCCTTCTTTCGAAGCCACTGTTCGCAGGTGCTACCGGTAATGTCGATTATGATGAGAATCTTCCTCCAGTTTTGAGTAACTGATTACCACTGGAAGCTACTGCTAGCTGGGCTCAAAACCCTTCGATGATGCTTGATGAGGCATGCAGATAGGGCGAATTGCGCACCGACGATGGATTTCTTGGTGGCCGTCTTGCAGTTTGATTCAAATACCAGTCATATCGTCACATAACTCCCATAACCTTGACAAAATTCCATCGACAACAGTCCATTTCATGTATTAGTCGTGGGTGTCCTAGTCAATCCCATCCTTCATCACTTCGTCCTCTCCTCCATGTCGTTTTCCTTCTCTCATCTCATGTCTGGCTCTTTGGCCGTCGAGAACGCTGTGGGTAGGATCGAAGCGGTTTTCGGTTGTGGCGGCATATGTGCCACCGACGTCGGCAAGCCGAACAGGTTGAGCCACGCTGGGCTGCGCCGCTGTGCCAGAGGACCATGAGACCATGAGGAAAAGGGGGCGGCCATTTCTTTGCCGTCTGTGTTGCTCTCGGTGATGACCCAGGCCTCTTCAGTTGGTTCTTCCCGGGCGCTTCGCTCAAGCGGCGGGAATGAACCGTTCACTCTGACGAAGAGCGTCCAGGTCCTGTTGAATAACCTCAATCGAGGCCGTGGCCGGATCAGTGGGGCGGGGCCTGCCCAAGAGAAATTGAAGTTTGTCGTGACGCCAGGCCTCGAGGACAAACTTCTTGGTCAACGGGTACCCGTAAGTCGGATTGGCATTTGCGATGACGGCCATGTCGGGTCAAGAGATTGTAGTCCGCACCGGCGGCAATGAACCGCGGTTGTGGATAAGAAAGGTCCAGGCGTCAGACAGGGCCTCGCCGCCGCTCATTCCCTGTCTCTGAGGACAGTTGTCAAAAAGGTGTCCCATTGTGTTGCACTTCGGACATCCAGGGAGATCGCCAAGGGGGCTAGGCCAGTCGCAATTCGCCATCTTGTGGCTTGAGACGACATCAGCTCGTCCTTGGGCCCTGCACCACGCACAGGAATCGTCGGCGCCTTGCGTATGTGGTCTGGCGGCCTGTGTGGTACTCCGAGTCGGCAGGCTCGAGGGATTGTGCGCGGCCGGCCTTGGCAGCATATGATTCAACCACATAACAGCGTCCGGATCATTCGCGAATATGGTTTTCATGTACGCCTTGTACTGGGCGACGGCCGTAGGATGGGCGACACAAACGGTAGCGCCTGGATAAGGCCCAACTGTGATCCCATAGGCTACGAAAGCGCCATTGGGATCTCGCACGTTCCAATACGTACCCGTCTCAGCACTGTATCGGACATCGCTTGCGGGGATGATGGGCGGCATTTGCACCGATGTCTGAGACTGCTGCGCGTCGCCAGCAGGCTGGGCACTGAGCTGTGGAGCGGTTGGCGGCGCTGACCGTTAAAATTGGCTTGATGGACGCCGAGGTCCCCCCGGTGGCCATGGTTGTCCCGGATGCTCTGGTTCTGCCGATGCCTTCTGCGCTTGGCGTCGCGACCTTCGTGGGTATCGCCAGGGTTGTCCGTCGCCTTGCCCTTGCGGCCGTCATTGCCGCCGCCACCACTGTTGTCACCAGCACCACCACCGCTCTGACCAGAATAGCCAGAATTCATTTTTTGTATATTCGGTAGGGCAGAGAAAGAAAGAAAACCTCGAAGTTTGTATGATTTGGATGATGGCAGTATGAGTGTGCACGTGGCTGGCGATTCGGTCTCTTCGGTTGCCTTGTTGTAGAAAGAAGGAAGCAAAATTGTTTTGAAACTTTGTACTTGACCACTCCAAGAGGGGCAGAAAGCGAATCGTGCTTGCAGAATCCACTGGAATTTTCATCCCAACATCGTGCTCGTTTGACTTGGTGCCTGGTGGTGTAGGCATTCCCTGACTTCATTCACGCTTGAACCGGATGCTTCTTACCCGGGCACTCATCCTCGCGTTCTATGGAAAGTTCTGCGCTCATCTCACTCCCCTAGAATTAGATACCTAGCTGTGATCGTTAATATCGCATCATGGAAATCAGTTTAGCAGTCGTAGGTTCACCTGCCTTTCCCATTCAAGCTTTTACCTCCATCTTGCCTTGTAGCAGCAGTATTGCATACCTCCGAGCGCCCAACCTCCATAATCCTGTGGTTGATGAGGCTCTTCCGGGGTCCACCGATCGGAGCTGGTCTGCAAGTTCCCGCTTGATCGACACGCGACCCACCTGCCAAAAAGACTCGAGTTTCGCAAAATCCGCCAATGAAAGACAAAGCCAAGGTGACGTGTGGGCCTGGGTCCGGCCCACAGCGCTTATCTCAGCCAGCCATACCCCCCTATTTCTGGTATGTAAGGTATGTACATACTTCGTAAGTGACCCAATCACCCAAAAACTTACGCCCTCAGAAGTCTTCACTGTAGACTCACGCCAAGGCAACTTTGTTGCTTCGCTTCCAGTTATACATTAATTTGAACGATCTTACTATTATACTTACTGGTTCCCACTACCCCCTCCCCAGCCGAGCAGCCAAACACTTGCAAGCCGAGTGCAACAACTGTTTCGCTTGCACAACTGCTTGGCTTGCAAAGCGTAAAGGTACATTTTGGTGATAGCAGTTTGTCCATGAGATTACCTTAGGTACGGCATCAGGGAGTTGGGTAAGGTGCCTTTCGCCCAGTACAACGCCTTTGATTGGGACCGCACACCGTCTTTGTCCTGCAATAACCCGCTTGACACCATCAGATTTTTGTCAGATTTAAACCAAGCTCAAGGCTGTTCTGTTCTTTGCCCATAACAACCACACCTTCACCGCGAGAATAGAAGGCTGTACCTGCCGCAACCAAAACACTCGCTACCTAACCTTCAATTCTCTGCCATATCCTACAATCCTGCCCGCCAGAAGCAGACAGGAGTCGCAAAAATGGAGTCTAGTCTCGACAGCGACGGCCAGCTTGGGGGCCACCATGTCAATCGACATGAAATCGCCATGCCACCAACCGTCTTGGGGGCTCTCATCCGCTGGAATCCCGACTCCGTATCTTTTGAGAACACTCGAGATCCCCAAGGCGATTTTGTCGCCTATTATGACCTCCCCTACGGCGTTGCGTACATCACGAGAGGCCACCCCTGTGCGCTGGCGACCCTGGCGGCTCAAATGGCGGCCCTACCGGCCAACGACCCGAAGGTCTGTCAACATTCCATCCAAAGCCCAATTATAACTACTGACGCTCTGACAGGACCTCGCAGTTTCGCAGGCACCAGGACCATCGTGCGACGCCGCCCCAGAGCGCTCGCAAAGCAGGCGGCACAAATGGCGACCCAATACGCCAATGACCCGGCCGCTCGCCAGCTGGTGGTTACGATCCCAAACCCGTTGATCAGTACTACTTGCTCCAATCTGGACCGCGCGGCACTGCCACCCGACCCCGACACCGCCACGATGTTCCGTAGAGAGATTAGCAGCATGATTGACACCCTCGGAAGCATCATGAAGGAGCCTGAGTCGCAGTGAAAAGACATCGAAATCCGCTCCGCAAGGCAAACCTTTCCAAGAGATGGAGCGGACCTGACACCGATGTCACACCCATCCAATCTGGATGTTCTTAGATAGTTAGCGATCCTTATGAGAATAATGAGTCAGGCTGTCAAGGCAAATCATTTCATCTCGACCCCATCCCAGCGGACACTGATAAGGAGGAGGAGGATACCGGGAGGTAAAAGGAGACCCTGGCAAGAATAGGCTACAATTTGCAGACTTTCTACCCTCACGCCAGACACTGGATCAACCTTCTACATAACTCGTTCATGACCGCGTTTGGTCAAGATGATCTTATCCTTTGGATATTGGCATTCTGGGTTTTCGAGAGACCCGGAATCCTTGAGGACATTACAAAGCGTACAGTGTGTTATTTTCGAGGGGAACTCCGGCCACTTATCTTCCCAATTTCGGAGGACATAATCGGAAAGTTTTGAGGTGGGCATCCGGCTTCTGTCTACTGACTGATATGGTCAATCGCAGGAGTCCAGAATGCCTTTGTGGACTTACTGGATGCCCAAGCCACCTTGCGCTTGGTTCAAGGTTGGGATGGAAAAAGACACGAGCTCTGCTAGACAAACTCGCTTTTTACTGTGACTTGTCTCACTGAATGACCAAGGAGAATGATGGATGACTTACCTTGCTGATCCGGCTACCACACAATCTTCTTTCCTCCTCAAAACCTAAGGACAACCGACTCAATTTACTAGCGATTCTTGACCTCCCATCAACAAGCCGCACCACAATCAGGGCAACACAATCATTAAAGCTAACCGAACATTCGAGTTTTCTTTCTTCCCATTAGTTACAGGAAAGAAACAAAAATGAACTCTAGTTCCGCTAGCGAGGCTCCCGGTGGGAACGAAGGCGGCGGTTTGGACGGCCACGGCCCCCAGGGCAACAACATCACAATCCCACCAATCGTCCATGGCACCTTCATTCGCTGGAATCCTATTGAAAGAGTGTTTGAGAATACTCGAGATCCCGGCGGCGATTTCATCGCCTATTTCCACATCGGCGATAGCGTAGCCACCATCGCAAGAGGTCATCCCAGAGCCCTCAAAGAGCTACAGAGGCAAATCACGGCCGCCGCCTTATTCGCAAACGATCCTACCCGTGATTGGCACGTGATATTCCCTCTTACTCCCACTCGCTGGCTTACAGTCACGAGACCACCGAGAATTGGTCTGTCCCCTGACCGTGTCGAACCCCCAGCCGACGACGAGACCGCCAAGACGTTCTGGAGGGAATACAAAAGCATGTGCAAAACACTTTGCTGGATCGGGGCCAGCTTGGGATGAGTGTATTTCGCTCAAGCACGCGTGTAAGGTAACTACCAACTCTCTCGGGGTAATGGACCTCTTTTTCCCTGGTTTCTGAGTTCTGACAATGCAATAGGAGAGCGATCGAAACGCACACCGACATCGAGCAGGAGCTCGAAGCTTTGGGAAACGAGTTGGTTGAGGTTCTGAATTACAGCCCGGGAGATGAGGAATGGGATCGGATTGGGCACAAACTTTCCAAAGAGAGAGCGATGTGAAGGAAGGGGTTGGGTAAGCAATAAACTATCCTTGCCTTTACTCCTTGGGGAACAGGAAGGGGAATATTACGTTACTATATGCGGTGTAGAGTTTCTTGATCAGTCAAGGTAGGGAAGCGAATTCTGTTGGCAGAATCAAGCAGAGCTTCATTTTATCCGAACCTCGATGTTCATGTTAGCCCCTAATAATGCCAAAATCCGAGTCTTTCTCTCTTCAGCCTGGGCATTGGATGAAGTGGATGGAACGCCTTCCTGATCGCGTCGTAGGCGACCCTCAGTCTCGTATCCGCAGCATGAAATCGCTCCATTTCGCCTGTAGTCGCAGCGTATAGGTAGAATTGGCTGGAATCTGTGGTTGGAAGTTGAGGTGTGCAGTGAACGCAGTGATTCGGAACAGAATTGAAGTGTTCGGACTGCCCGTGGGTCCATTGTTTCCGATGGGAGGTGATTTGGTTGGAAAGAGCACCTGGGCTGGCTTTTGGGAAGGCACGTCTCCCTAAAACGATTATGGAATCTGAAAACTCCTGGGCAATAACGTCCCTCTCAAGCTCAAAATCTTGCCATCACATGCTAGCTCAGAATCTTTACCACAACCTGCAATCTACAGATGGCGTCGATATTTTGACTGCGACCTGCAAATTCACTGAGCTTGCATAGTGATTGCAAACTGAAATCCTCTGATCGCGTATCTGGAATGCAAAGCTGCAGTCTGGTACCGATCGCATATCATACAATGCCGCTTCCGGAGACACGCTCGGCGGCCATGCCGTTATTGGACGGCGCGAGACTCGACATGGTGCGGGAGATCAATCAATCGACCGAGAAGTCGAACTTCCGCCTTGGTGCGATGCTTGACCATTTGCTTGAGTCATCTAGGTGGCCCTATAAGGGCTGTATGGTTAGGGAGTTTGCTCACAATCGCGGCTCCTTCTTGCTACTGCTCAATGCCATTCCCACTGAGATACGCGATTCCCTGATACTGGGGATCATTGCGTACGACTTCTACGACCCTCAACGGCGACCGTACTCCCCCGATTTCCCGGGAGTGTACGCCGTTGGGGTAGCAATTAATGGGAGGAACGGCAAGTTTCTTACCCGTCGGGAAATTTTGAGGCCCTGGCCGCGGGTATTGACGAATACTGTCAAGGGTGGTCTGCTTGGACGATGTGTGGTGGAGATGCCACCAAGATGACGCCTCAAGAGAGTCGCTCTTTGAACCACTGCAGGGTCGTGGATGACGCATTCGGCCCAGTGGTACATCAGGATATGCGGCCCATGATGATAGCAACTCCAAAACGTCACCAACGGGCCTGCGAGTACATCGTATGGCTGAAAAAGCGGGCTGATGCAGCCCTTGACCCCAGTGGTGACGTGGCACAGGTGCAGTCGCCTCTTTATATCGGATCTTCCTCGCGTGCCATTAGTACGGGGTTAGCCCGGCACAATGGCGGCTGGCTACACGGCACGACTCCGCTCCTTTCCCTCACCATAGGTTGTATCAAGCACAGCCTCGGCTTGATCCCCGAGACCGTGGGGGTGCCCGTACTGCCGACCTGGGAGGCCGGACACGTTTCCTTCGGGGAGCAGCTTGTTACAATACTCGCTAGCTCCCTTGTTGATGACGGGGGCCTGAATACCTTGCACCCTGGCATCACAAAGGGGGAGGCCAACGAGTCGGCGAAACACTACGTGTTTACCAATGACTTTTTGAGCGAGAATATACAGGCGACACTCGATGAGATGGACATGTACAAGCAGCTCATCATAGATGATCCCGCCCTGCTGAGTAGCCTGATTCAATTAACTGAGGAAAACATTGATGATACACTCGGCAAACTGGACAAACTGATAAAGGAATATGAGAGCGTCGTTAACGAATACCTCTCAGTTTTGGCCCAGCTCAACACCATGGTGAAAGAGGCTCTGGACGATGTCGACGACCTTGAACAGCAGTTGGCATTATATAGAGACATGGGCCGACTCGTTGAATATGTGTTATCTGACTCGACAACAGAGTCGGCCGACGACAGGGTCGAAGTACCGAGGTCGCCAGATCAACCGTCGACCCCCTAGATACTACCTTAGGTAGCAATGAACCTGAAGGTGCTTCATTACTTCAATACTTCAAGTGGTAGCTCTCAGTTATTGTGCTTCAATGTGATGAGAAAGTGATCGTATGCCTGTTCTGACGTTGAGATCTTCAGCTTGAGGTTCAAGGTCGGCATTGTCTAATGTAGTCAGTTTAAAGTTATCTGTCGCACCGGCATGTCTCAACTGCAGGTGCCATCAGGATGGTCAGGCCCACCAGGTACATTTATGTGGGGCTTGGTGGCTGCATTAGCACTCTTCCACTTGGCTTCAAGTTGCAGTCCTCGCAGACTTACCTCACGTCCCGTTGCTCTGTGGTAAGGTCTGCTAGCAGCAGGGAAACTGCAGCACTGTTTGCTGTTTCAGAAACACCACCTAGAATGCATCACAACGCTGAGCCATTCCTATGACTGGTTTACTATGTACTGTACAGTACAACGCCGGGCGTAAGGTACTTACCTTTTCTGATATGGTGCCGACCCTCTCCATCCAACTACACTAAATCTGTCAGATACGACTCCACATTTCCTCACCTGGCGAGCCTGGGCTTCGAAGCACAATCACGACACGACACGCTCACGAATTGCCAGGTATTGGAGAAATACCCATTAAGACGCGTCTACGAGTTACTCGTGCAAGCTCGAACCGGATTCCTCGCCTCATTTTCTTTCTTTCTTTCGTTCCTCCGTCCCAGATTCCCAGTGCACCTTCGACCACCACATGCAGCGACACGGGCAAGATAAAATGAGGACGAACGCTGCTAGAGAAAATTCTATGCGTTGTCCTGAGCTTTCCATGTACTGGCCCACGCGGCTCAGTGCCCTCCCCGTCGGTATCGCCACTGCCATCGAGGTCGCCGCGCTCACGATTCGCACGGTTAGCAGCTTGCTCGACGACCCCTATCAAACCCTCGCTTGGGAGCACAGAAATCCTCTCCTTGGTTTCGCCCTTCGTTGCGATAACAGATTCCCTTTGTCCGCCGATTTACAGGAAAAACTGGCCAACGACATATGCACTGCCTTCAGAATGGACCAGGAGGAATTGTCACTCCAGGGGCTAATGGAAAGCTACCTGATGAGGAAGACATTCTGGGACATGCCAGACCTCATGTTCTACAACGCTGCCTTTCGCCTTGGTCCGGAACAACCCTGGGTCCAATCCGGGATAGGCACGCCGGGCCAGGTTAGCATCATCCCTTGGCGAGGAGAGGAGGATCTCGAGACTGCCATCAGGAAGAGGTTCGGCCGGTCGCCCACCTATCCCGCGGGCGAATGGGAACTTTTTCTGGGTGCAAAGATGCCACCGGTCTTCCGCGTTTTGTTCCAGCCCTCCAGGATTCGCGAGTTCGCGGACATTCAATGGCCGCTCGTTGTCGGTCCTTCTCTGAAGACGGAGCAAGAGTCGGGGAAATATGGAGCTTGCAGGACAAGTCGAAGCACAATATGTGCTTATTGGAATGATTCGTCATCGGACAACTCCGGACGAACTAGACCTTGCCAGATTCTACGATAGGGCAGGCCTTTACGTCGCCCCTCCCATAGTGAATGGCAAATACATGCCGCCTCCCTACGTCTCGGACCACTGGTCAGTTGGCGATCCGGGGCCGACATATAATACACTGCTCTACGCCACTGCAGCCACGCCACCACAGCCGTCCACAGACCGCATATACGGGGAAGTGCTCCCGTCGTCAAGCGCGCTGAGAACGCGAAATTACTCAGCGAACACAAACTGCTACTAGCAATGAGGCTTCCCCAACCCATGCCTGAATTGTTCGACGGATGATCCCATCACCCACACTAGTTGTCGACACCGGTGGAGGTATCGGAATTGGAACATGATACCGAGTCGAAGTAATGACAGTTCAGATGACAATATTTCACCTCTGTTGAATAACCAAGGCCATGGGACACGAAGTTCAAGTTTGTAATAGCCTTAAGGAGCTACCTTAAGGAACTATGATGGCAATGCAAATAATGACATGTCATTCTCCTTATTGTTATTTGTGAATCTAAATCAGAGAGGCAACGATGAGATCCTGTGCGACCAAGATACATGGCTTCTTTGCTTCGGTTCAAGTTCCGGCACCAGAAGATTTCCAGGAACATAAAATTCCCTTATCGACCAACGCAATGACCCTTGATATCTGTAACCAAATACAGATAACGTACTTGCATAGCGAGCGGCCCAGCATAGCGAGTGGCCCACTTTCTCCCCTTCTACAACTTCGTAACTTCATCACCTGTTTTCTTCCACAATACAACATGGA